CTAGTTTAATTAGCTTAATTCCACAGTCCTCAGGCCTCACCAGCATGTGGGTGCTGAGAAACTAAGGTTTTGCTGACTATTCTTTATCAGAAAGCTGACCTCAGCGGACTGCCTCAACCCCATTTTCTTATCCTCTGGCTTCTGATCAGGTTTGGCCAATGCTCACCACTGGAAGGTGGCTGTCCCAAGCTGGGCCACAGCTTGTCAGCGGCTGTGTGTGACCTCAGGGCCATATCTCCTGCTTGTGCCTTCTTCCTGCTCCAACTCCGGCCCATTGTTGGTCCAGCAACCACCTCTTCCTCTTTCCTTTTCAGGCCTATGGGAGCATCCAGCCCTCCTGTTCCCATCCCACATTAGCTCTAGAGTACTGGACAGTCACTTATGGATTCTCCATAACTTTGCCCACCTCCCCATAAGAGATCCATTCTTTCAACACCTTTCTTTTTTTTTTAATTCTTTTTTTCTTAAAAATTTATTTTTATTTATTTATGCATACAAGAACAGGGGCTAGGCCAGAGGTATAGGGGGTGAGAGGATTCACCAGAGCCAGAGTGGGGAGCAGAACAGGGGGATCTACTGCAATATACCGCTGAGGGGAACAGCGGGGAGGTAGGAGAGGTCTGCAGTACCATGTGTGTTAGTCCCCTGGCTGGGGATTGAACTCATGTCCCATGTGGGTTAGTTCCCTGGTTGGGGGTCACACTCACACCACAGTGGCTGGTGATAACTTGATAGCACTGAGGCTTTAATCCCTGTGCCACCAGGGAGGTCCCTATCAACATCTTTCAATGACTCCTTCTGAGGGTGCTATGTAGTTCTGACTCAGACCCTGACCCCTGTGGGGGTGCCACCACTAGAGCAGGCACTACAGTGTCCTGGGCCCTTACCTCCACTTGCTCCGTTTGCACCAACTGAAGTTCTGACCATGCCATGTGCCTCTGAGAATCCAGTCTGCTCTATAGGAGGTCTCCAAGAATGAAAGCTGCTCAGCTACTCTGGTAAAGGCGAGGAGGACAGAGGTCCCAAGCCAGTGTGTGGGTTGCTGGACAATGCCCTCAGCTCCAAGTGTGGATCTGGGCTTGGCAGGGAGACATTTCAATGCCAGAACACCTCTCCCTCTAGAGCCTTGGAGGGATAAGGATCTATTACTCTGTCAGGCTCATAGCTGGAGGCCCCTCCTTTAATGGGGAGCTTTCTCCTGGAAGGTTTCTCATTCCTTATGCAAACAGGCTCCTGGCAGGGCATGCTTCCCTGCTGCCAGACATGCCTAGACATATTGAATTCTATTTGGACTTGAGCTGGGATCCTCTATACAAGTTTGGGAAAGTAAATTTGGGCCAGGTGGAGGAAGGCCTCCAACATAATCAAATAAGTTTTAAGCTAATATTTTAGGCAAAAAGTAGCTAACTGTATGTGAGCTGGGGAGAGAATTACATCAAAAATTGCTAAGAGCTCAAAACTCAGCACATAGCCATCTCAGTGCCTGCTCCTGCCCTCCCTCTAACTGAAATATCACCTGTCCTGGAGCCCCCCAAGGCACTCTCCATCACCACACCTTGTTTCACTCACCACGCCTTGTATCATTCCCTGAAGTCATGAAGTTTTCTTCTTTCTTTGCCCCTTGCATGAGGGCAGAGAGATGGGTGACTTAGTTGATGCTATATTCCCAGGACCTGGCTCATAGCAGACACTCAATAAATATCACTGAATTTGTTGAGTGAGTGAATGAATTTGGCCCAATGAATGGATTTAGATGAGGAAGCCCAGAGAGGTCAAGATGTTATAGGACAGGGAGAGGGGCAGCCCAAACCCCGCAAACCTGCCTATTCTACATGGGTTCTGCCATCCGCCGCATCAACACAAAACATAGGAGACTTTAATGGGAAGGAACTTTAATAAAACTAGGAAACAATACAGGTAAGGCAAAGAGTCTAGTTTCTAAATGAAGCCTCCAGAGTTACCCGTCCCCTCATGGGTAAAACTCCATCCATATGGGATCGGCCCAGAGCAAGGCCCCAAAGCCTGCTAAATCTAAAGCATCTTCCAGTGGGGACCCACAGAAAAGGGTCACAAACAACCGGACAAGCCCGGAAGGAAAAGAGCAAAGTCAACATCAAGATAAAAGCTGCCATTGTCACCTCCCCACAGGTCTCACCCACAACTGTGTCACCCAGTCCATGACCAAAAGACAAGCGCAGTTTCTTCACGTGTCTCTAGGCTCCATGCACCTCCTCCAGGTCTCCTGGCTCCATCCTGCTTCCTTCCTTAGTCTCTTCTGCAGCTTCTCCTCTTCCTACTCAGCTCCACCCTCCCTTGGGTGGGGCAGGGAACCTCCCCCTTTCCTGGGGACCACCCTGTTGCAAAGAGACTTAGCTACCTGCTGAAAAGCCACAGAGCATTATGGGTGACACTATCCTGGAACAGGGTTATCTAACTGCACCTCATACATCCTGGTGGAGAGGTGGGAGGGTTGGGTCAGCAGCGCCCTATCTAGTAGTCAGGCTGGATGCAAAAGGATGGGAAGTTGGTCCAGGGGTGGGGTGTGGAGGGGCGCCAGGGAGGGAAGGTTAGGGCGGAAATCTGTGGGAAGGTATGGAGACAACTGGCCTGAGCTGAGCCAGAGAAGAGACAAGATCTAGGTATGGGGAATGAGAGCACACTGGATGTCTCCTCTGTGCCAGGTACAGGCGTACCAATGTGGTCTAACTCATGACTTGTGCTGGAGATATCACCGTCATTTTTATGAGCCAATGAAATGGAGGCACAAGAGTTTAAATAAATTACTCTCTTTTACCCACTTGATAAAGTACCTGACTCCTAAGCAAGACCTCTTGCCACCCTCTGCTCCCCACTGTGCTCTTCTTTAACCCTTTCCTGGGAGGGAAAGGCTGAGCATAGTATTAAACCTGAGGGCTTTCCTTTGAGATGCTCTGGGGGTCAGGAACGTGCTAGCATGTCCCTGACCTGCATGTCCCTGGGGACACACTGAGGGATGAGTTGTGGACCAGGTTTGCAAGGCAAGACTGCTGCTCAGTGAGCAGCCCTCTTGCTATTTATTAGCAGTAATGATTAGCAGACAACGGCAACAGGATCAGGGTCCAGGGGAGACAAGTGGTAATCAACTTTTATGGGGAACAGGAGGGGACATGTCGGCCACATATACAGGGAGGACGTCCCATGCAGGTGCTTGGTGTAATTTCCGAGCTTATCCCAGACCACCTCAGACCATGGCCACACAGTCAGTCAGTGGCTACCTGGGCTTCCCTGACTGCCTCATGATGTGGGCTGTTGTCTTAAGGCAGTCACGCAGGACTGCCTCATCCAATTCTTTCACATACACACACACACACACACACACACACACACACACACATGCATAGAGAGGCCATACACACAAAGGTGCAGAGGCCCCAAGTGATAGAGAGGCCACAAGATGCCACTGTGCTGGGTGATGAGGTGAGGGGGTTCATACTCAGAAGAGGATTTGAGTTAGATATTTCTCTGGGAAGGAGTGGGGAGCACCTGTGGCTCTCACCTGCTTTAGAGAAGGAATTGAGGCCTGAGAAGGCAGAAACCTCTTTCGAAAAAGGGAAAGCAGTGAGAGGTAGGGAGAGTGGAGAGGGGCTGAAATTGGCCCTGAGGGTCTTCTGCTTCCTGGGGCTGCAGAGGGCAGGGCAGGGATGTGCCAGGTGGCGCAGAGCAGAAGGCCTTAGAGTCAGAGGCCACACAGGTCACTTTTCCCTTTTCTGGATTCCAATGGAGGGAGAAGCAGGAGTGGGGGTGGGGTGGGAAGGCTGAGTCTAGTCTCAACTAGGAGTGGTGTGAACCTCTCTCTCCTCCCCCACTTGGGCCCCTTCCCTGGACTGGGGAGCTCCTGGCCCCTTGCCTGCAGGCATGCAAACACGCCCTGGCCCCACAGCCCAGATGTTCCAGGGCAGGCCTGACTTAAGGCCGTAGGTACACTTGTGCTTGTCGGACTGCGGCTCTGGATTTGGGTCTGGAAAATAAAGGTCACAGGGGCCCAGGACTAAGAGTCAGCAGAGCCAGCTTCTGTGCAGCCCCAGGGCTTCACAAGGTGTTCTTGGGGGGAGGGGCGGGGAACACGTCCAGGGCCCGTCCAGGGCCGGTTTTGGAGGCAGACCCCCAGCCCCAGGCCGGTGCCTGACCGCAGCTGCCTAGCAACTCATGTGGGTCTGGGGTTAGGGAACCTCAGGGCTTGAACCTCTCCCAGCCTAAAGCCTCCCCCCAAACTTGCTAAAAAGGGCTTTCATAAACAAGAAAGTCTGAAAGCAGCAGCTCTCTCCGCCCCTCCAGTCCTGGGGGCTTCAGGAGGGTCTGGGCCGCCTGCCAGCCCTGGCCGGCCCCAGACTTGGGGGGCGGGGAAGCGGTACAGTTGCCCTCTCCTTCCCGCGGCGTTTCCAGCCCAGAGTTTCCTCAGACCCCAGCTTCCCCACCCAGCTCTCCCTTAACCCTTTCCTCCGACGGCAGGCGCAGGGCCGGCTCTCCGGGGAGGCTGAGCGCGGCGGTGAGGGCGAAAGGACCGGTCCCAGAGCTCCACCCTCCCCACCTCCCGAGCGGCCCTCTCCTCTGCCTTGCACTTGGGAAAGGCGAGCGAGGAAGGAAATTAACTTTGACCCCTGGATTCTGGCTTTGGGCCCAAAACTTGGGTGGAGAGCAGAGGCTTCCAGGACCCTCCCGTTCCCTCCCCCTGCCGCCCCCTCCTTTCCCCGCCCCCCGCGCCCCCTGAGCTTCCCGCAGACAGAGGTTCTCCTGCAGGGGCTGGCGCCCGGCGCGGGGAAGCCGGGGCGGAGGGAAGGGCGACGCGAGCCCGGCCGGCCCCACCCCTAACCGCAGCCCCTGGCAGGAAGAGGCTTTCGCGGGAGCCGCAGCGGAAAGGCACGGAGCCCCGAGGGGCAGCTGCCAGGCGGCGGGTGGGTCCGCTGCCCCGAGGGGGCGCGCCGCGGGGACCCAGGGGCGTGGCCTGCGCTCGCCGGCCGGGGCTGGGGCTCCTCGCGCGCTCGGACCCGGGTGACCCTGCTCCCCTCGTCCAGGGGCGGGCGGAGTAGTCATGCTCCTGTCTGGGGGCGACCCTCCGGCGCAGGAATGGTTCATGGTGCAGAGCAAATCAAAGGCCCGGGTGCAGCGGCAGCGGCTGCAAGTGCAGCGCATCTTCAGGGTCAAGCTGAATGCCTTCCAGAGCCGACCAGACACTCCCTACTTCTGGCTGCAGCTCCAGGGACCCAAGGAGAATATGAGTAAAGCCAAGGTAAACAGCTTCTCCCCACCCCCACCCATCCCTTATAGCCAGACCCTTGTGTGCCCCTTCCCACCCGTGACAGGGGAGTCCCCCCACCTAGATTGGCACTATGGGGAGAGGGAGGGGGGAAGTACTGGGCCATCCTCTTGCCTTTCCAGCTCTGCAGCCCTGGTTCCTTCCCTCTGATTCCTTCTTTCTTTTCTGCCCCACCCTCTCTTGCCTGACGCTCCTGTGTCCCTTAAGTGCAGAGAGAGCCTGCAGGGTGTGAGCCCCTCCACCATGCTTCCCTAGCCAGGGCCCCTGCACCCACAACCTGGCTTCTCCATCTGGGGAGTAACCTAAAGTCCTGCCTGCCCATGATGTCTTCCACACATGGCTTTGTTCTCCACCAACACTCTGGAGGGCCCAGGTCCTTCTGGCTCCCTTTAAGTCTCCTTAAATCCTGGGCTTCCCCAAGAGTCTTTCAGAGTGCCGACCACAGGGGCCCTTAGAGGTTTCTAGAGACAAGCTAGCATTTTACAGATGAGATATTGAGTACAGGAGACAGTAAGAGGCCTCTGTGAGTGTTCAGGGCTAGGTAGTTGCCCAGTGGCAGGGTCTTAGACCAGAACTCGGGGCTCTGGGCTCTCTGCTGTGGATTTTCAATTCTCTAGGTAGTCTCTTGCAGGGTATGGGGGTTGGGGGTGTAGATGCCCTGGAAGATTCCAGCCTTTGGGAATGAGTGGGAATCTGGGAGGAGAGTGATGGGCAGGTTAGGTCACAGGACACCTCTTGTGTTCTCCCTGACCTCTTCCCCAAGCTTCTCTACTTGGACCTTCCTGGTGAAGGTCTCCCTTTTCCCCCTGATTCCCTTATCTTATCTTTTCCTGGTCTGAGTGCTACAGCCAGAGACCACCAGCTTCCTGTCTCCTCCCCCCACCCCTCCTACTTCTTCTCCAGCTGGGTCTGTACCAACATCCTAATTGACCTTGGCTGGAAAGGGCCAGAACAGGCTGGAGAGCAGACTAGCAGGCAGCCTGGGAAGTTCCTCCCTTAGCCCTTCTGTGAAGCTGCTGTGTCAGCAGTTTTTCCAATTTTGACAGTGGTGCTGGGGGGAGGGTAAGGGTGCCTGCTCAGAGAACAGATGTGCAGGAGCCCCTGAGATGAAGAATTTTTGGCAGCTGGGATAGGGTGGGTTAACAAGAGGAGTCTTTGGTGTTGTTTGGCCTCTTAATCATTTTGTTAATTTGAAATACAGCAGCTCACCCTTTTATAGGCCTGGCACTCAGTGAGGTGTGCTGTTCCCCTGCTCCCTGCTGGAATCTGGGATCAGCTTCTCCAGGGCAGTCTGCCCCAGCTCCCACTGCTGTTTCGGGGTTCCTGGGGCAACTGATCCCTCCCTCAACACCCCAGGTTTTGCTAACATAACCAGTGACCTCCTGGATCACCCCCCACACACACACCCGGTCACCTTTCACTTCAGAAAGGCATTGCTTCAGATGGAAACAATGTGCCCTGAGGGGTTCTGGGGGTGACTTCCTCCCTACTGCCCAGAATGAGTAGAAAGTAGAGCTGGCTGGAGGTTTGGAGCAGGAAGTCAGGGAAGGTGGGGAGTATTAGGCTTTGTCCCAGGAGTTAGGAGTCTGGGCTCAATTTGCTGTCACTACTGGTAGAACAGAGGGGTGTGGTAGAGAGAGTTTAGATTGGGGTTTGCCATGTTTAACTGGATGCCCTGGGCCACATCATTTACCCTCTCTTTAGCCTTTTTCCTCATCCATAAAATAATATAATAAACCCACTTCATGAAAGGGTTGTGTCTGCTGAAATAATGCATGCTGAAATACTTTCGCAAAATGTGGAAACTGATAGAAGGTAGAGCTAGAAGCCAGTGCTTGTTGTTGTTAAGTAGCTGTCTAACCCCGAGCAAGTCCTTTCCCCTCTCGTGTCTCAATATTGTCCTGGGTTGTAAAGCAAGAAGTTTGAATTAAATGTTCTCCAAGGTCCAGCGATCTGGTACATGGGAATTCCCCAAGTGTAAGGCTGCCTGCCCCGTGGTCTCCATGGGGACCATGTGACTGCCCCCAAACCTAACTAGGGATGCAGAATTATCCCCTTTATAATAGCCTGCTGGCCATAGGCCACTGCAGAGAGGACTCCGTGAGACTAGAGCTTCAGGATGCAGGATGAGGAAGGTGGTGGGGGTTTGTGTGTGAGAGGAGGGGCCGTCAAGGATAGGTGTTGGTCTGGTAAAGGGCTTATGTGTATTTCTGCGTTACATGTGACTGGTTTCCCAGGAAAATCTCTGTAGAACTCAAGAGGACCTTTAAATTGTTTTCTGGTGGTGAGATTCAAAGAATAATGAAGGCATTGCTGGAAATCACACTCCCAGGCAGCAAAAACACACACTAGGGAGGTCTAGCCTCTCTGAGGTGAAATCAGCTAGTGGAAAGGAGGGTTTTTTTAGTGATCAGAGTGGCCCAGGGATAAGCCCTGCTCAGCTGCCTGTCCTCCTTGGTGATGATATGAGGAAGGATGGGGTGCAGAGAGGAGAGGGGACCTGTTGGCTTCTCTCCTTTGCGCTAGTGATAAAGGGAGGTGATAGGAGCCAGAGACTAGGTCTGGAGCTGTCAGACGGATGTGATCTGCTGTGCTTCGCACCAACTGTGAACTGCACCATGGAAGTTGGTAGTGGCCAGGGCCATACTGGAGCTGGCTCCGTTGTTAACATTTCAGGAAGCTTTCAAGCCAGTGGCTCTCATTGCTAGTGTGAGATCAGCGTGGTGGGAGTATTTATACCACAGAAATTGGTGAATACTACAAATCAGGGCTATACCCTTAAATCTTTATGGTTAAACACTCACCAGCACAGTTAGTTGTGTTGTGTGTCACTCATCCTTCTCCTTTGTCGTTAAGCTCAGGTTTTCCTTTATCAAAGTAATACGCCATTGACAAGTCCAGTAGAGTTTTAAAGGCTCACAATAGAACACAAGAGATTTTCTTGCCTCTCTCAACTCCCTTTTCAGGGCCCTTTCACATAGGCACTATCCTGGCATCTCCACAGCTCTGCTTTCCTAAAAATATATGTAGATGCTGTTATCTTTTGAAGAATCAATTTGAGATGTTGTCTTTTTACTTCCTACTGTAGGGGAGGATTTAGCTCCCTTTTACTGCCATCCCTCTTTCTTGCCAATATTGATATATTTCAATTTTCTGCCGTCTATATTTACATTTAGTATTCTCAACATTATGCCTGTAAAATATTCACATCTAAGCATTTATGTGCACTGAGATCATGTTTTCTTTTTACATTTTTATTTCACCAAGGTGAAGAAACTCCTTGCTTTCTAATTTGCTTATTTTTCTTTACTTGTTAATTTTGACAACTGTCAGTAGTCTCAGTACAATTTTCTTCAAGGCCAATCTGTTGGCTGAAGGAATCCTTTTAGTTCCAAATTTTCTTTTGGAGTTCTCTCTCCTCTCTGGTTAGGCCAGCACTGCTGTCATCTTGGCACCTCTGCGCCTTTTTTCATTGCTAAATACCTTATTTCCCGGACCACATGCTTTTCTTTTCTTTGGGTTGGTGGGGGGAATCCATCAGCTTCATTATGTTCAAAGGACGGTGCTGTGCTAAAGAGTGCTAATAACTACGACATGCTCATCTCGCTTTTTTTTTTTTAAAGATTTTTTTTTTAATAGAGGCATGTTTTTATTTATTTATTTGTTTGTTTGTTTTGTTTATACATGAACTGGGTACAGTCAGAAGCGCGGGAGGGTGAGAGAATTCACCAGAGCCAGAGCGGGGAGCAGAGCAGGCAGAAGGACCGAAGTACACTGCTGAGGGGAGCAGCAGGCGGCAGGATAGGTCTGCGCGCCATGTGGGACCCTCCTCTGGTGGCCGGGGAGCAGCCGGGGATTGAACCGGCGCTGCAGAGGCCGCGGGCAGCTTCGCAACCCAGCGCTCAACCGCTGTGCCACCTGGGAGGCCCTCATCTCGCTTTTTCTAACTGACAAAATTTTAATGAGGTAATATTGATGGATAACAACAATTTCAGATGTACAGCATTAGAATTCAACCCCTGTATGCTCTGTGTCCTGATCATTACCCTAAGTCCACCCATCACCACACTCTTCACCCCTTTACCCCTTTCACTTACCCCTACATGTTGGTCTCTGAGCCACACACAATCTCTAGTTAGAACTAGTTGTCCTCTATATCTGGAGACAGTTGTCATCTTAGAGCAGTGCCAGGCATGTTGTAAGATCTCAATACTGACTTGCTGAGCAGATGAACAGGTTTCTAGATTTCTCTTTGCTATCATCCTGGAGATCATCTTTACTTTTTCCTCTATGTTGCATCTCCTTTCTTGATTTCCTTCCCTTCTTTTTTTTTTAAGATTTATTTATTTATACAAGAACTGGGGTACAGGCCAGAAGCACGGGAGGGTGAGAGGATTCACCAGAGACAGAGCGGGGAACAGAACAGGCAGAGTGACGAAGTACACAGCTGAGGGGAGCAGCGCGCCAGACAGGAGAGCTCTGCTTCGCCATGTGGGATTCTCGTTGGCCCGCGGGGATTGAACCTGCGCTGCAGAGGCTGTGGACAGCCTCACAGTGCGGTGCTCAACTGCCTGCGCCACCAGGGAGGCCCTTGATTTCCTTTCTTGATTGAAATTTCCTTTCTTGAGCTAGAAAATGCTCCCTGGCAGCTTCTGGAGAAGAGTTTATAGGAGGTAAAAGTTTGGAGTTACATCACTGCGTATCTACACTGCATACCTCAAGGTCACTTGATGACAGTTTGGCTGGTATCGAATACATAGAAAGTTATTTTCCTTCAGAACTGTGAAGGCTTTAATCCACTGACTTCTTGCTTTTGAGAAGCCTGAAGCTATTCTGGTTCCTGCTCCTTTATAGGCGAGGTGTTTTCTGTCTGGCAGCTGGTCGTTCCCCTTGGTGCTCTGAGGTTTTCCAGTGAGACCCCTGGAGGTGGGTCTGTCTTTATCCATCCTTGCTTACTCTCACTGATGTGTTGGGTGGGCCCTTCTTTCTGGACGCTCATGTTTCTCTGAAGGAGCAAACATTTTGGCACTGGTTTGTGGATGACGTTGTCCCCGTGGCTTCGTTTCCCCTCTTTCTCTGCATGTCTGCTTCAGACTTTGGACTTTCTGGACTCGTCCTCCACTCTCCTCCTGGTTTCCAGTGCAAACCCTTTGCTCTGCTTCCTGGAGATGAGAAAGCAGAGCAACCCTTCGGCCCTGTGAGCCTCTCGTTTCTCTCATGGTATTTTTAACATCTAAAAGTTACTTCTCTTTCCTCTGAATACTCTTCTGGAAAATGGTATCCCACTTTGGTTTTGTGTGACCCATATTTTAGTGGTCTCTGCCAGGACAGTAATGAGGAGCGTTTTGAATTTTTATTTTCTGCCTACTTTCTCTACCTTCAAGTTGCTCCCACCTCATCTGTTTGTTTCACATTAGAATTTTCCTCACATGACTGTAATCCTTGAATGATTAAAAGTGGAAGACAGAAAACCGATTGGGCACTGAGGCTGAGACTTGTTGATTTTGAGCTTGGGGACACGGGCTGTTCGGGAATCCATCCGAACAGTTCTGCTCCAGTTTAGTTCTGCCCCAGGCCTGGTGAGGTTTTCCAAAGTGTGTTCCTCTTCTGTCCTGGAGGCCCAGGGGCTGGCTGGTGAATCTCTGAATAGGAAGAATGAGTTTCTTTGCACTTTCACTGTAGATGTGTGGAAGTCCTCTGTATGGCCTCTGTGCGGTGCCCAACGCCACAAGGGTGCTCATAGGCCTCTAGACCTAAGGCCTTGCTTTCCCCTCTAGAGACCAAACCTCTGACTGGTAGGAAAGTGTGTTTGTGTGTGTGTGTGTGTGTGTGTGTCTAGAGTTGGGGTGGGGTGGTTAGCCTCCAGGATCTAATTGCTCCTTCAGACAACTTTACTTCAATCTGCCCTTCATTCCTAAGTCTAGAATTTTTTGTGCTGCCATTTTCTGAGAATTTTGAGTACGCTGTGGTGTAATTTAGGGGGAGGGTTCTGGAAAACTGACTGTAAGTGACAACTGACTTACAACAAAGAAGAATTCTAAGTCAGGTATGAAATGGTAGAGCAGCATGGGGTCAAGTGTAGAGCAGTGTTAACATATTTGGTGTTATTGTTTTTATTAGCTGACAAGTTAACAATGCCCGGTGGATATTGGGCAATACATTTTTACAAATATGCCACTCTTTTTTCTGTGCTTATTTTCTATTCTTTGTTGTTACCTCTTCTCTGCTTTTTTGCCTTTTAGAGGAAAAAGGTCTGGGAGGGCTTTAAGCAGGAAAATTGTTCCACATATTTTCTACATGCAAATGCCTGTTGCTTCCTTATCTCTCCCCACTCCCCCAAGGCACAGGCAGCAGCATGGTTAAGAGCCCAGCCTAGTTAAGATGGTTAAGCATGGTTAAGATCTCAGCCTTGGGGCATCTGTAGGACTTCAATTTGTGTCCTTTCTTGTTCATGTAAAATGAGCATGATAGTACTTTCCTTATAGAACCAGAGAGGAATACATGAAAGAATGTGTGTAAGAGCCTGACACATAGTCAGCGTTCAATAAATATCAGTTTAGATTTATTATTTTGAAAATATCGCAGTTCCTATTATCTCAATCAAAAAAAAAATCAGTTAATGGAACAATAAATATTTTAAGCTCTTTGCACAAAGAGAAAGAAACCACTCTTAGTTATCTGCCCCAACACGTGTCTTCATTTCCAGATGTGGGGTACATGGGGAGGGGTTGTTTGTTAAGGTCTGCGAGTTATCCCACACCCGGTCAGATTGCCCTTCTGGGCAGTAGCACCAGTTGAGGTTCTGGGTGGGAAGAGTTGGTTTGGGGGCTTGAACTGATCAGGTTTTGAGATCTTTCTTTTTTTTTTTTTTTAAACATTTCTTTATTTATTTATACAAGCACTGGGTACAGTCAGAAGCGCGGGAGGGTGAGAGAATTCACCAGAGCCAGAACGGGGAGCAGAGCAGGCAGAGGGACTGAAGTACACTGCTGAGGGGAGCAGCGGGTGGCAGGAGAGTTCTGCGAGCCATGTGGGACCCTCCTCCAGTGGAGGGGGAGCAGCTGGGGATTGAACCTGCGCTGCAGAGGCTGCGGGCAGCTTCGCAACTCAGCGCTCAACCGCTGCGCCACCGGGGAGGCCCATGATCAGGTTTTTAATTGATTGGAAAGGGGTTAGATCTGGGCCTTCGTGCTTGGGTGTATTTCGGGTCCCTTTGGGAAGGGATTGGAGGTCTTCGGCCTAGTTCAGGAGAGGAAGCAAACAATGGCCTGAGCAGGGAAGGATGACCAGGGTGCTGAGCAGAGGGGGCTGGAGTGGCCTTCAGGATGACTGCAGAGGATCTCAAATGGAGCACTTGTTCCCTAGTGGAGCTGTCAGGGGAAATGGGAAGAGGGAGGGAGGCCTGTCATCATTATGGGGATAAGAGAGGACATGAGGGCAAGCACAACACAGACTGGCTGATGAAGGGCAAATGCTCATGCCCCCTTGGAACTCATGGGGTGATGCTGGTGTAACTTGGTCTCAGGGTGGAGGAACCCAGCTTTTCGGATCCCAGCCTCTGTGAATCTTGTACACCCAAGGACTTGGTCAACCAGTGAGCCAGAGGCCTCCCACTTCAGTTGTGTGAATCTGCGGGGTTGCCTTGGACACAGGCCTGGTGACTTATCTCCTCCTCTGTCCGCTCTAGGCAACACAGTTACTATAGTTACCAGTACAGGTTGCGCTAGAGACCTTCTGCAGGAGGATTAAGCCAGAGTCCCATAGAGGTACCGTGTAGTCACTTCAGTCAGCCTGAAGAGATGGAAGGTCTCTGGTTTCAGAGTCAGACAGATGTGGGTTGTGATCCTAGCTCAGTCCCCCCTAGCTATGTCTCTGGGCCAGTTAGAATGCCCTCTGAGACTGCAAGATGGGAACAAGCTGTGCTGGGCCCCATGCTAGGTGCCTTCTCAGCATTAACTCATTGAAGCTTCCTACTAGACTAATGAGATGGGCCTTGTTCTCCCCATTTTACAGTTGTGTAAACCCCCTCCCCCAGGCTGTTTCACAGGTTCACAATGCCGGAGTAGGACGGGACCTAGGAATATATCGTTTAGTCTGCCATTTTGTAGGTGAAGACACTGAGGCCTTGAGAAGATGATACATTTTCCACAATTCACCTCATCTATTGAGGTCAAGTTGGACCCAGAAGCACATCTCTTGACTGCAAGTCCAGTGCTCCCCATGCCTCCTCCATCTGTCAGAGTTCCTGGAAAGAGATGAGTGTGGGGGGAGCAGGACCAGGGCAAGAAGACTGGCCACGGGGTCACTGGCAGGCAGTGGGGCAGGCAGGGGAGGACACCTGCTTGGCAAGGTGTGTGCTTTCTAGGTGGGGGGGCATCAGCCAGTGGCAGGTGTGCCCCCATCCAGGGCTGACTTCCTTGTGCTCTCCTGTGGCTTCAGGAGTACCTGAAGGGCCTGTGTACCCCAGAGCTGTGGAAGGAAGTTCGCTACCCACCAGTCCTGCACTGTGCCTTCCTCGGGGCCCAGGGCCTCTTCCTCGACTGCCTCTGCTGGAGCACCCTGGCCTACCTGGTGCCCGGCCCTCCTGGTTCCCTGATGGTGGGCGGGCTGACTGAGTCTTTTATCATGACCCAGAACTGGCTGGAGGAGCTGGTGGGGCGGCTGCGCTGGGGCCCTGCCCCGCTGCTGACCCCCCGCGGGATCTGGGAAGCAGAGGTGACCCGGGCCTTTGGGGCCCTGGTCTGGATCCGTGGTGACCAGCATGCAGGGGACCTGCTGCAGCTGCCTCCGGCGGTTCAGGAGCTGCTGCTGAGCCTGGTGCGAGATGCTGCGGGCAAGGAAGACATCATCGAATGGCTGGGCCGCATCGGCTCCTCTGATACCCGCTCTGACCCAGAGGTCCTGCACTGCCCTCCCCAGCAGCAGAAGGAAGGCCCAGCCATGGTGTCTGTGGCAGATGGCTCTGCACCCTTCCTGGAGATGGGGAGCCTCCAGAATGGTAGTTCAGAAAACTCAAAGAAAATTACTAGCCTGGGAGCCACCCTGTCCCCAGTTTCAGGCACCCCAAGCCAGACCGCGCAGCAGGAAACAGCAGACCAGCTGATGCGGTAAGTTCTGGCTTCTCTGACCCTACTCCTATCCCTCTACCCCCAAGGAAATAGTTTGGGACCTAAATAGCCTTCCCACATTTCCAACAAACTTGGGTTTCCTCCAGGGTTTGTTCCAACAAGCAAGGTGGTATGGACGGTGCTCGAGAGAAGGGGTCGGTGCAAGCCACAGGCAGCCAGGACTCCGCAAGTCACACACAAGTCTTGTCACAAAAGAGGCAGGTCCAGAGGGTGGAAGATAAACTCCCCCTCCAGCCTTCGGTGTCCAGCCTGGGCGTGTGCCCCACCTGGAAGGCCTGGCCCCCTGGGCCAGCCTTTGGGCCCTTGTGGCCTGGTACCATCGCTGCCACCTTCTGGAGGATCAACGAACTGCATTCTCTCCACCTGGCCTGGCTCCTGTCCCAGGCCTGCTTCAGTTTCCCCTTTTGGCAGAGACCGCTGGTCCCCATTCAGTTCAAGCTGCCAGGGCAGAATCCTTTGCCCTTAAATCTAGAGTGGAAGCAGAAGGAGCTTGTTCCTCTGCCCCGTGTGGAGAGCCCAGATGGCCCAGGAGGACAGGCAGTCCTACAGAATTGTGCGAGGCCAGAGACCCCCTCAAAAGTAATGAGTTTACTGGTGGTCTCGGGTGTAAAGGACAAGGCTAGCTCTGGACTTCCACAGATTGGGCCACCTTTGCCTTCCACTCCCCAATTACAAGCTGGAAGTGAGACAAGGGACCAAGGAAGTGTACAGTGCAACTGTAAAGGGCCTGAAGAGAGGCCCACTCCAGCGCTCCCTAAGGGCCAAGGGGTGCCCACAGCTCAAGAGAGGCCCACATCTAAAGGAGAGCTGTCAGCTCGGTCAGGACCTGAAGCTAAAACAGTGCCTGAGCCTCTCCAAGTGCCCGTGGCTGCAGCAGCACCCACAGCTCAGAGCCCACCCACCACTCAAGTGCCGCCCGCAGCACCCGAAGTGCCTACAGCCAAGGTGACACCAGCAGCCCTCACAGAAGCTGCAGCCCCCAAAGTGCCTTTGGCTTCAACCAAGGCAGCAGCTCAAGTGGTGTCCACAGCTCAAAAGCAGGCCATGGATCAGCCAGCACTGGATGCTCAAGTGGGGCCTGTGACCCCCCAGGCTGCCACTACTCAGAAAATGCCTGCGGCAAAAACAGCACCGGCAGGTCTCAAAGCAACCAAAGCCCAAACTGGGTCTGCAGCTAAAACAGGGTTGACAGCTCCCAAAGGAACTACTGCTTCCAAAGCACCTGCCACCCCCAAAACTCCTGCAGCTTCCAAAGCCTCCAGAGCTCCCCAAATGCCTGCAGCTCAGAAGGCACCCACAGATGCTGGGCCAGCCTCCAACACAGCCAAACTCCTGAGTGACGTCCAGCCCTCTTCAACAAGGGGCATTGCCTCCTTCCCAAAGGGTCAGGGGGAAGCTGGAAGGCAGGGTCCCCAGCCTGGCAGCACCCTGGCCCCCAGCAATAAGCACCAACCTCAGACGGAGGGGCTTCTGGGGCCCTGGGAGGGGTCCCTGAGGCAACCGCCTCGCCACCCGCAGGCCAACAGCACAGTGACCAGTTTCCAGCGCTACCATGAGGCCTTGAACACACCCTTCGAGCTGAACCTGTCTGGGGAACCCGGAAACCAGGGCTTGCGGCGTGTGGTCATTGACGGCAGCAGTGTGGCCATGGTGTGAGTAACCGCAGGCAGTGGTGCTGGAGTTGGGCAGGTTATCCCTGCCGGGGCAGAGGGTGACTGTCTTCTTGACCTCTGCAAATGGAAAAAGATGGGAGGGAGGTGGCCCATGTCGAGTAGCTACTGCATGTTAGGCAGTGTACTCCAAATTGTCACTGCCTACAAGAGTGGGTTTCTATTCTTTTCCTTTGAGAGAAGCAGAAACAGGCTCAGGGAGGTGAGGAATCTTGCCCAAGGTCCCAGAGCCAGGAAGGGCCCAGCTGGCCTTTGGAAGCAGATCTTTTCACTGCCAAGGCCCAGGTCTTCTACGGCAGGCAGCCCGCTTCACACGGCATGGCAACTGCCAACCCCAGGCCACCTTTAGCCCAAACCTTAAGGCCCAGCACAGATCTCCTTGAAGACCCTCCTCACCAGGCTGACCTTAGAGATGGCTCTGCCCACACAGCACCTATTGTGGGATAGGTGTGTTAGCCTACTTCTACACCAGACCGCTTAATTTGCCACTTTCAGCTCACTGCAGGTGGCCCTGAGTCAGGGCTTCCAGCCCTGAATCAAGCACTGAGTCTGATGCTTGCCTTCTTCCTCCCCTTGCCCTGGAAGCCACCCCAGGTGCTCACAGAATGTGTGATGATGGAGGGAGAGGAGAAAGGCGTCTTCGCTGCCTGTGTACTGCTGCTGTGTGGCCTGCTGGTTCTGAGGGACGGATGAAGGGTGGGCCCACTGCTGGTGCAGGAAGTTGCCCCTCACTTTCTACCCTGCCCCCAGGCACGGCCTCCAGCACTTCTTCTCCTGCCGTGGCATTGCCATGGCGGTGCAGTATTTCTGGAACCGGGGACACCGAGAGGTCACTGTGTTTGTACCCACCTGGCAGCTGAAGAAGAACCGCAGGGTGCGAGGTGAGTTTTTCTGTCCCCTCTGTGGTACTTTCCACTTAACTTCCCTCCCCCCCCCAGTGGCTCTGATTTCTGCCTTTCACCCGCAGAGAGCCACTTTCTGACGAAGCTGCACTCCCTCAAGATGCTTTCAATCACCCCGTCCCAGCTGGAGAATGGCAAGAAGATCGCCACGTACGATTACAGGTGTGTGGGCCCCAGGCCTTCTCTCTGTGGTGCTTAGGGCTCAGGAGGGGCTGCCAGGTGGAGTCTGCTCCTGTGCCTGGGGAGGCTGAGGCTAGGGCCTTAGAGGGTAGGGCATGCCCAGCCCTCTGCAGCAGAAGAGGGAACACAGCAAGGAGAGGGCCTCTAGATGGCTCTACCCAAGCCCTGGGCTCTACCCAGGCCCCATTTTCCTTAACCTCCAGGCTTCCTTCCCCATGATCTGTGGGCTGATAGCCAGCACTTTGGGTGGGACTAGCCCTGGTTACTTCTGGTGCTTTGGGTGAGCTGCTTTTCCCAGCAGCTGACTTGGGGTACGAGTTTGGATTCAAGCTCATATCTCAAGAAACTGCTTCAGTTTCCCTTCCCCAGCCTATGTGGTTGGAGTCTGCCTGGGACCTGACAGGAGTTAGATGGGCTTTATCTCCTAGCTAAGTCCTAAATGCCTCCCTACTTGTCAGTTGTAAGCACACACTCCCCAATGTGACTGCAGGACTGGAGTGCACAGGAGGAGCCTGTGTGCTGCAGCTTCCCTGCTGTCCTCATTAGTCCTGGGCTCACTGGTCCTCACTGGAGTTGCTACCAGATGGACAGAGGTCTTGGCTTCACTCAGGCATCTCCCATGCCCAGCAGGAGATGTTCTTTCCCTCCTGCTTTTCCCAAGACCTGGCATTCACTCAGGCTAAGCCTAGGCAGGGTTGAACAGGGCAACTCAGGCATCATTCCTGGAAGAACGAGTCCCCCAGGATAAGACTTTTAAGTGCCTCCAAATTGGGTCTCGCTGTGAGGCAAGATGGCATTTCTGCAGAGGGCTAGTGGAGTGGCATGGTGGTGCACTGGCGTGCAGTCTGGGAATGCTGAGAAGGGGTAACCTGCACTTTCTCTCCTGGCCAAGGGCCTCTTTTGACAAGTGATCTTAGAAAAAACGGATTTGTCTATTCAGGTGTATGTTTTATATGTGCATACATACATCTATTGTGTGTAGGTCTGTCTTGGCATGTATATGTATGTTGTGCATTGGTGAACAGTAATAATGGAATATTTGCATGTATACTTGATGGCAGGCATTGATGCTTCAATGCATTAGCTCATTCACGTTAGTCCTCACAGTAATATAGGGTAGGTTTCTTTAAAAAAAATGTATTTATTTATTTTGTAGAAGAACTGGGGTGTAGGCCAGAGGTGCAGGGGATGAGAGAATTCACCAGAGACAGGGTGGGGAGCAGAACAGGCAGACTGACGGAAATACACTGCTGAGGGGAGAGTAGGCGAGACAGGAGAGGTCTGCTGCGCCATATGTGTTAGCTCCCTGGCTGGGAATTGAACTCAGGCTACAACTGTGATAGCGCTGAGGCTTAACCTCTAGGCCACCAAGGAGGCCTCTTAGGGTAGGTTTCTTATGTCCATTTTGGAGATGTGACAATTGAAGCAGCAAAGGTATGTGTGTGCCTGTGGACAAGCCTGTGGGTTTCCATCTGTGTGTCTGCGTGGGTGATGTGGGTGCCTATGTGTAACAGAGTCTGTGTTTGTATATGCACTTGGGTGGTGCATCCCATTTCACCCTCTCAAGGTCTTGTGGGGACCCCAGGTGGCTGCATAGATGAGGGGTTGGGATCCTGAGCCCTGGCGTTCATTCCAACTACTGTGGGCAGCATTTCTGCCCAACTTGTCTCCATGTGAAGTTGCAAGTTATTTTCTCAGAGGACAGGACAGCGTGGGGCTGATTACTGGGTGGTTTATGATTTCCTGTCTCCCTGCAGGTTCATGGTAAAGCTGGCGGAGGAGACAGATGGCATCATTGTTACCAATGAGCAGCTCCACATTCTGATGAATAATTCCAAGAAACTGATGGTCAAAGATCGGTGAGGCAGCTCCCAGGGCCTGGAGCCTGTGCTTCCCCTTGGATGTCAGGCAGCTTCTGGCAGGAGGGGGTCTTGGAGCTGTGCTCAGCCACACCTGCTAGGTCCAGATGAGGGCCTCGGCCCCAGTGGAGACGCCTGGGGGGCAGTGGGGTGTGGGTGGGTCCAACTCTGCTTTGTGACTGTGCCTCTTCTCTCCCTGGTCAGCCTGTTGCCCTTCACCTTTGCGGGGAACCTCTTCATGGTGCCCGATGACCCTCTGGGCCGTGATGGCCCAACACTTGATGAATTTCTGAAGAAGCCGAACAGGTAATGGGCCAGGCCTCTCTGGCTTCCCAGCCTCTCCAGGGACTTACCAGAAATTCCTTTCTGCTAGCCAGCATTGGTCTGGTGCTTAATAAGGAGCAGGAGGATCTGACTTTTTCTGATTATCTTGCTTCTACCACATACTTACGGGTCCATAATCCACATCTCATGTAGTTTTGCAGATTTATAGTTATACACACATCCGCTTTAATACTGGGCATGTCCTTTTGTGACTGGTGTTTGTGCTCCATGTTTTCTGGTTTCCCCACCTGTGTGCCATGTTAATTTACTTTAATGGCAGTGCGATATTTCAGGACATGAGTACCTGACAGAATCTTGGGTTCTATTGTCGAGGGCTGCTTGGCAGTTTCTGTGTTTGGCTGGTGGCCCCAGTGAGGCAGTGCAGGCCTTCAGGTACAAAGGGAGCCGTGTCTAAAGTATATAGCAAGTAGGGCCTCCCTGGTGGCGCAGCGGTTCGGTTGAGCGCTGGGTTGCGAAGCTGCCGGTGACCTCTGCGGCGCCGGTTCGATCCCCGGCTGCTCCCCGGCCACCGGAGGAGGGTCCCACGTGGCGCGCAGACCTCTCCTGCCGCCCGCTGCTCCCCTCAGCAGTGTGCTTCGGTCTTTCTGCCTGCTCTGCTCCCTGCTCTGGCTCTGGTGAATTCTCTCACCCTCCCGCGCTTCTGACTGTACCCAGTGCATGTATAAACAAAAAAACAAACAAACAAACAAATAAATAAATAAAACATGCCTCTATTAAAAAAAAAAAAAGAGGTTTAAAGTATATAGCAAGTAGAATTCTTTCCACATTTATTATCCTCTGTGATCTTCACAACTTGAACTAGATGTGCATGACCATCATTCCACAGATGAGGAATCTGAGACTCAAGTGACTTTCCCAAGGTCACTATGGAAGTGGTTATATACTAAGATCTTCTGACTTCTGCCCCCTCTGAGCCCCCTTGCCGCCCACCTTCCAGTTCCCTGGGCCCAGCAGGGAACCTTCCCGGCGGGGCACTGCTTCCTGGGCTAACTGTCCCCCAGTTCCATTTCCTGTTCTGGAACCCAGTGATGTGGACGAAGTGCCTCTGTTGTGCCTTCCAAAGCCCCTGCCGGGCCTCTTTGTGGTTTGCTCATCCTGGGGTCAGGTTGGAAATGCCAGTCATCTCACTCTTGTCAAACCACTGGCTCTCTTGTTGCTGTGTAGGTTGGACACTGACATCGGCAACTTCCTGAAGGTGTGGAAGACTCTTCCACCCAGCTCCACCAGCATTGCTGAGATGAGTGATGCCGCTGTCCCTGGGCCCCTAGAGAGCCCACAGAAGGTGGACGAAGTCAGGGAAGAGAAGGAGGACAGGAGGGACGAGGAGCAGAGAGAGGTGCAGGGGATGCAGGAGCTGTCTGAGGAAGAGCCTGCCCAGGAAGACGACCGGGACTCCTCCCTGGCGTCAGTGTTCAGAACTGAGTGCCCTGTGCTATCAGAGGAAATCCTCCGGTGCCTCAGCCTCCACAACCCCCACGATGGGGCCCTTGACATCGATCTGCTGCCGGGGGTGGCTTCTCCCTCCCTGGGCGTCCTCTGGGATGGGAAGGCCCCCTGCCAGCAGGTTCTTGCTCATCTGGCCCAGCTGACCATCCCCCGCAACTTCACCGCACTCTCATTCTTTGTGGGGTTCATGGACTCCCACCGCGATGTCATTCCTGACTATGAGACCCTCATGGGCCCTCTACACAGTCTCCTTAAGCAGAAGCCGGACTGGCAGTGGGACCAGGGGCATGAGAAAGCCTTCCTGGCCCTGAAGCGAGCCCTGGTGTCTGCCCTCTGCCTGACAGCCCCCAACTCCCAGCTGCCCTTCCGCCTGGAGGTGATGGTGAGCCAAGTGGCCTTGACGGCCATTGTCTATCAGGAGCACTCAGGGAGGAAGCACCCCATAGCTTATACCTCGAAACCCCTTCTTCCCGACGAGGAGAGCCAGGGCCCCCAGTCTGGGGGAGACAGCCCCTATGCTGTGGCCTGGGCCCTCAAGCATTTTTCCCGCTGCATTGGTGATACCCCAGTGGTCCTGGATCTTTCCTATGCCTCCCGGACCACAGAGGACCCCCAGGCACAGGACGGCCGTAGGGATGCCAAGGCGTGGTTGATCCGATGGTCTCTCTTGGTACAGGACAAAGGCAAGAGGGCCCTGGAACTAACCCTTCTCCAGGGCCTGCTGGGGGAGAACAGCCTGCTGACACCTGCATCCTCCATGCCTCGTTTTTTCCAGGTTCTGCCTCCTTTTTCTGACCTGTCCACTTTTGTGTGCATCCACATGTCTGGCTATTGCTTTTACCGCGAGGACGAGTGGTGCGCTGGCTTTGGTCTCTATGTCCTGTCTCCCACCAGCCCCCCTGTCTCCCTCTCCTTCTCCTGCTCCCCTTACACACCAACCTATGCGCACCTGGCAGCCGTGGCCTGTGGCCTAGAGCGCTTTGGCCAGTCCCAGCTCCCTGTGGTTTTCCTCACCCACTGCAACTGGATCTTCAGCCTCCTCTGGGAGCTTCTGCCCCTCTGGCAGGCTCGGGGCTTCCTCTCCTCTGACGGGGCCCCACTACCTCATCCAGGCCTGCTCTCCTACATTATATCCCTCACTTCCGGCCTCTCAGCCCTTCCGTTTATCTACCGAACCTCCTACCGGGGCTCCCTGTTTGCTGTGACCGTGGACACCCTGGCCAAGCAGGGCGCCCAGGGCAGTGGGCAATGGTGGCATTTGCCAGAGGACATGCCGAGTCCTGTCGTGTCTCCCCATAGCATGGGCAAGAGGCCCGACTTGCTGGCATTGCAGCGAAGTGACAGCACGCTGGCTGATGTCATCGCCACGCTGCAGGCTGGGCAGAAACTGCCCAGCTCTTCACCCTTCAGTTCTGCCTTTAACTCACTAAGCCTCGACAAAGAGAGTGGTCTGCTGATGTTCAAGGGAGAAAAGAGGGCCAGGGTCTGGGTGGTCCCGAGGCAGCTCCGGAGGGATCTGATTTTCTCCGTGCATGACCTCCCCATGGGTGCCCATCAGAGGCCCGAGGAGACCTATAAGAAGTTGCGGTTGCTGGGGTGGTGGCCTGGCATGCAGGAGCACGTGAGAGATTACTGCCGGAGCTGCTTGTTCTGCATCCCCCGCAACCTCGTAGGCAACGAGTTGAAGGTCATTGAGTCCCTGTGGCCACTCAGGTCGACCGCCCCCTGGGCCAACCTGCAGATTGAGGTGGTGGGCCCGGTCACCATCAGTGAGGAGGGCCACAAGCATGTGCTGATTGTGGCCGACCCCAACACCAGGTGGGTGGAGGCGTTCCCCCTGAAGCCCTACACGCACACGGCGGTGGCCCAGGTGCTGCTGCAGCATGTGTTTGCCAGGTGGGGTGTTCCCATCAGACTGGAGGCCGCCCAGGGCCCCCAGTTTGCCCGGCATGTCCTGGTGAGCTGTGGGCTGGCCCTGGGCGCCCAGACTGCCTCCCTTAGTAGAGACCTCCAGTTCCCCTGCCTGGTGAGCTCGGGGGCCTACTGGGAATTCAAGAGGGCCCTTAAGGAGTTTATCTTCCTGCATGGCAAGAGGTGGGCAGCCTCCCTACCCTTGCTGCACCTGGCCTTCAGGGCCTCCTCCTCCCAGACCACCCCAATCCAGATCCTGACGGGGGCCGAGGTGAGGCTTACTGAGCCCCTGTGGTGGGAGATGAGCAGTGCCAATATTGAGGGGCTCAAGATGGATGTCTTCCTGCTGCGGCTGATTGGGGAGGTGCTGGAGCTGCACTGGAGGGTGGCTGACAAGGCCTGTGAGAAGGAGGAGAACAGGCGCTTCCAGCGGGAGATCCGGGAAAAGGAGTGGAACGTGGGCGACCAGGTCCTCTTGCTGTCGCTCCCCAGGAACGGCAGCAGTGCCAAATGGGTGGGTCCTTTCTATATCGGGGACCGGCTGAGCCTGTCTCTCTATAGGGTCTGGGGCTTCCCAACCCCAGAGAAGCTTGGGTGCATCTATCCTAGCAGCCTGATGAAAACCTTTGCCAAGAGTGGCACTCCCCTGTCCTTCAAGGTCCTTGAGCAGTGAGCTGGAGGGGTGGGGGAGCCCCTGTACCCCAGATCTGGGTGTCTGCTGCTAGGCCTCCCTCTCTCCCTGACAATGCTCTCGTAGTCCCCTGGGGGCCCTTAGTTGTGCCTTTTATAGACAAGTTATTTCATAAAGCTTTGTTGAATTGCCTTGAACTAGGGACAAGGGTCCCTATGGAAACTTTCCCTTTTTGGGGTATTGGGAGAATCTGCCAAAGGCTGTGAGTTATGGGCCCATGGCAATTTTACCCTGGGGGGTAGAAATTCCCCATACTAAGGTAAGCCAGGCTCAGTGTCATTCCCCTAAGTATTCCCTGTGCTGTCACACAAGTGCAACTGTGAGTGGGCTTGCACATGCATGTGTATGTGCATGCTTGCACACACACACACACACACACACACACTCCAGAGTCTTACTCCTGGCTGTCCTACCCATGAACTAGTGTGGTTTCTGGATCTCAGAATCGGAACTGCATTCCCCACTGAAACAGAAACCTCAAGCGTGGTTCCCTCTCTACCCTGTTCATTTTGGAACCCCTTAACCTTGAGGTTGTCACAGCTGACACATCCATGCGGGCTTTGGAGAGACAGCCAGTGCAGTCTCAAGGCCTGCCCAGCTGTCAAGGAAGGGTTGGCAGTACTTTGAAGGGTGGTCAGCCTACCTCATTTGACTCCAGCTGATGGAGACAATCCCCACCCCTGCTTCCATGTTATCAATCCCACAGGAATCAAGGATCTCGATGCCAAGTGTGGCATCTCTACCTGAAGAGCTGCTTCAACTAGACCAAGGGGCCCAGGCCTCTTTTTTGGGGGGACTGATTCTACCTCCCAATCCCACCCCCTGGCCCATAGCCCTCTTTCCACCTGTACCCCTAGACCCTACAGAGTGCGTGACTGCTTTGTTTGGATCACCCCTCACCCTCACCACCCCCTGGTCCTGCCTTCTGTGTAGGGCGAAATCTGGGCTCTCTCAGAGCCACTTTTGTGTCAAGAGTGAATTTGTTGTAGGTGTGTGTGCTGTACTCACCCCTTGGGATTGCTGTGGTAACTCCACCTGCCACTGAGTGGTTTTCAGAAGGAGGCAGCACCCCTTCACTCTGGCTGGGCCTTAAGTGGTTTTATTTCTCCAAAGCTGAGCCAGTTTCCTGGCCTTGTTCAGGCTGCCAAAACACTTGGCATTGCGAGGGCCAGAGTAGAACCTGCTGTCAAGTCCAATTTGCTGGTTTTACAGCTAAAGAAAGAGCCCAAAGTCACATGGCTAGTTTGTGGCTGGATCAGCATCAGGACTCAGTTTACCAGAGACAGAATTCTGCTGACAGGCAAGTGAGAGAATCCCTCAAATATCTGTACCCACATTTTCTCCAACTCCCTAGCTCCCAAATCTCTGTAGACAAAGTGTTTTGATGTTGCCCTCAAACCATTTCCAGCTGTTAATTCTGTCCAGGAAAGAATGATTGGGTGGCAGCTGAGAAATGGAAAGATATGCTGTGGGTTTTTTAAGCAGAAACATTCTCCCCCTCCCTGTCTCCCCTCCTCCCTCCCCCTTCATGTAGCCGTATGTCCAACCTCATCTCTCTCCTTGGTGCTATACCCACCGCCCCTGTTAATCACATGTATGATCTTATACCCTTTTTATGTGACTTTTTCCCCTTTGATTTGTCAATAAACGGATCAAAATGGAGCCAGTGTCCAGTTCTTTTATAGCATCAGTCAATTATGGGAGTATGGGGGGCAGGCAAAATTGGGGCTGCTGCCTGTCCTCCAGGCTGACTCGCACATCTGAATAGCACTGGATAGCACCTTCTCACGTTTATCTCTGAACCAAGCGCTTATTTTACACATGAGATCAGCACCAGGTAGTGACCTGTGGAAGGCTCCATGGCAGGGCTTGGCAGGATTGGGCGCACCAGCCAGGCTGTGGGCGTCCATGTCTACACTGGTGTTTTTCCCAATTGTTAAAAAAAAAATTCGACAGAGTAAATACAGACATCTATATGACTTTAGTCAATGATACATGAAATTGAACAGCAGCCCATCCAGCTAATAGAAAGGTACTTCCAAAATAGGTTTTCATAGTCAGAAAGAGGGTGGGACAGGGGGACTTTTAGCTAAAGAAAATGTTGTTCCAGGCAGGGCCACCCTCCCTTAGGGGAAGGCAGGAAGTTCTTATGATGCAGATTATGTGCCGTTGCCAATGCTGACTATATTCCTGGAAAGAGTTGAATTAAGTTAGATATTAAATCTAGGCTTGGTGACATGGGCTTGGCATGGGTGACTCCATTTTGGGTCTGCTGTTTCTTTTTCTTTTTTAAAAACAGGTCATTTCTGGTAAGCAGGCAGATGGGAATGAACATGAACTAGGGCTGGCGTGAGAGAAAGGTGCCAGTGCTGAAACAATTTAGTTGAGTTGGAAACAGTGTAGAACTGGGTTTAAATACTGAATCTATAGCTGCTACCCATGTGACCTGTTTCCTGAAGCTTCAGTAACAACAGCAGGAAAACAATTCTCAAGTTACCATGTGGTGCGAGGATTCAAGGATTCTACAAAACAATCTGTGCAGAGGGCCTCCCTGGTGGTGCAAGGGGTTAGGACACAACCTATGAAGATATCTGTAACCACTGCAGCATGAGTTCAATCCCTGGCCAGGGAGTTACCCACATGGTGCAGCAGACCTCTCCTGTCTTGCTAGCTGTTCCCCTCAGCAATGTATTTCCGTGGATCTGCCTGTTTTGTTCCCCACTCTGTCTCTGGTGAATCCTTTCACCCCCTGCATCTCTGGCCTGCACCCCAGCTCTTTTATGCATAAAAAATCTTAAAAAAAAAAAAAAGAAATCTGTGCAGAGGGGCTGTAGTGCTAGGCATGAGCTGCATGTTTGCGTCCCAAGTTCATGTCTTGAACTCCTAACCCCTAATAGAAGGTCGCCTTGGAAGGCAATCGGTTTAGATGAGGTGATGAGGGTGGAGCCCCCGAGAGGGGCTAATGTCCTTCTACGGGACAGACAGACTAGAGCTCCCTTTCTCTCCATCATACAAAACTACAGGACAACAGACCTGTGGGTGCCAGGCTTTCTCCAGCCCTAGATCTCCCAGCACCTTGATCCTGAATATCCAGCCTCCAGAATATGAGAAATAAATATCTGTTATTCCAGCCACCCAGTCTTTGGTGTTTGTGTTAGAGCAGCTGGAAATAAGCTGTCTGGCTGCACGCAGCTGACATTCTCTTCTTCCTGCTCCTGGAGCTTTTGCCATGTCACCCCTCAGGTAAAGAGACCTTCCTAACGCAGGCCAGACTTCCCAACCTCAGGGCCCTGTCTCCCTGCCTCTTGTTGACTTTCTCCCCACCCACACTTCTGTTCAGCACTAGCAGTAGTGTGGCATGGCTCAAGGGAGCTCCCCACTCACGTGCACGCAGTTGTTTATTATTTGCAGAGACCCCTACGTGCCAGGCCCTGTCTAGGTGGGGCAGAGCTCATGAACAGGTGAGGGGGACAGACAATTCATCAAGTGAGTACAGTATAGAGCAGTGCAGGGGCCTGAGGTCTCTGCATTCACAGCCTTTAGAGAGGTCACCCAAAGTGAATAACCTGCTCTTAGTGGAAGTTTTGGATCTCCACATGGAAGGCCCATGAGAGAGGGGCCATTTTAAAACTACTTTACTGTCTACTCCAGAGAACCTTAAGCAACAATCAGATTTTACTTACACTGGCATTTAAGGCCTAGGAAGGTGAGACTTCTCCTTTTTGCTGTTGATCAGTTTATAAGGTCTGAGCAGAGACTTGAGATTCCTCCTATTTTTGGAGGCGTGAATAGACAAGTTTGTCCAGAGAGTTGAGTACCGTAGACTCCTCCCTAGTCACTACTTCTCTTCTTTACACTCATCACCATTGTCCCTTCTCATTTGGGGTGCTAGCAGGCAGGCTTCCCCTAGTCTCTAAGGGAGAAATTACCAAGTAGCCAGTGAGCAGACAGTCTCATCATATAATGCCCTCTAGAAAGATAAAGAATGTTCTATGATGAATTCCCTTTCCATGTTAAAACTTATGTCAACCATCTGGTGAGACTGGAAGCCTTAAGCTTTGCTGTGCCACGTTTTCCTAGCCACGGTTTACTAAGCCCTTGTGTTGGTAGGTCCAAGTAAATATACCTAAAAGAAAGAAACATTGCAACAGAATGGCTACAATAAAACAAAACAAAACTTCTAGCTGCATTTTTAAGATTGTCAAGTATCTTTGGGACACACATGCACAAGTTTCAGCTTGTTTACTAATTCATATGATAATTTACAAATATAGGGTATTGTTCTGTGTCAGGCTCTCTTCTAAATGCTTTTCAACCCTGCTGGGTAGATACAGTTGAAAAAGGAGGCACGAGGAAGTTAGGTAATTTGTTCAAGGTCAGGTGCAGCTGCTAAGTGAACAACTAGCGCTCTCTCCATTGTGTAAGGACACAACAAGATGGTCATCCCCAAGCCTCACTTGACAGTGGGTCTGTCGGCACCTTGGTCTTAAATGTCTATCCTTCAGAATTTCACCACTCAACTGTCTTAAGTGGTTAAGTGTTATCACTGTGCTCCTTGCCTCATGCAAAGCTAATTCACTGTGATGTGATGATAGTTTCCCACCCCCATCCATGCCCTCTCCATCTTTTATTTTATTTTATTTATTTTTAAAAAATATTTTATTGAGGGGCCTCCCCGCTGGCGCAGCGGTTGAGCACTGGGTTGCAAAGCTGCCCGCAGCCTCTGCAGCGCCGGTTCGATCCCCAGCTGCTCCCCGGCCACTGGAGGAGGGTCCCACATGGCGCGCAGACCTCTCCTGCGGCCCACTGCTCCCCTCAGCAGTGTACTTCGGCCCTTCTGCCTGCTCTGCTCCCTGCTCTGGCTCTGGTGAACTCTATCACCCTCCTGCGCCTCTGACTGTACCCAGTGCTTGTATAAATAAATAAATAAATCTTTAAAAAATATATTTTATTGAGACACTGAGCTGCCGCCGAGGTCTCAGCAGCCTCCCCCTCGAGCCCCCTCACTACCCAACGCTCAGACCACCTCCCCCACCCACTGCCATCTCCCATCGCCTTCTGCAGGCCATTTCCACTGAGGAAAAGGAATCGTATCGTATGTCTGCTATCCAGAACCTCCACTCTTTCGACCCCTTTGCTGATGCAAGTAAGGCTGATGATCTGCTTCCTGCTGGCACTGAGGATTATATCCATATAAGAATTCAACAGAGAAGTGGCAGGAAGACCGTTACTACTGTCCAAGGGATCACTGACGATTACGATAAAAAGAAACCAGTGAAGGGGTTTAAGAAGAAATTTGCCTGCAATGGTACTGTAATTGAGCATCCAGACTATGGAGAAGTAATTCAGCTACAGGGTGACCAGCACAATAACAAATGCCAGTTCCTCGTGGAGCCTGGACTGGGTAAGGACGACCAGCTAAAGGCTCATGGGTTTTAAGTGCTTTTGGCTCAGTGAAGCTTAGTGAGGATTTCCTCGCAATGAGTAGAATTTCCCTTCTGTCCCTTGTCGCAAGTTTAAAAACCTCACAGCTTATATAATGTAACCATTTGGGCTCTGCTTTTAACTTGAACTAGTGTAACTCCTTCGTGCAATAAACTGAAAAGCCACACTGTCTAGTCTTGAAGTCCCTCATTTAAACAGAGATCAAGCAGTAGGTGCCTGGCAGAGTCCAGCCTGTAACAGAGCAATAACTTGATGTTTCGGCCATGCCCAGAACCCCAAGATCACTATTGTCTCTGTTTGGTCAGAAGCTCCTCAGCTCTCCCTCTGTAGAGTTCCCAGCCCTAAGAGAATGGCACCACCTGAACAGCCTTCGGTGAGGCTGAGAGGAGAAAATGGGGTGAGGCAGCAAAGACAGCTGTAACCTACAGGGAGCCTTTGGTAGTAAAGGAAAGATGCCCTGATGTCTCCAACTTGGCCAGAGTCCGGAGTGGCCACCTTCCCTCTAGTGAGGCGACAGGACATCTATGATGAGACATATCCTAGTTAATCCGATGAACACACCAGAATATGAGGCCAGCTTTCTGTTTTCAAAGTCAAACTTTTGACAAGGGAACAAAGCTTGCAACTTACTAGCAGCAGCTGCCCAATGCAGCTGGTTTTTGGTGGTTTTTTTTTCCCCTTCAGTTTTAATGTTACGTAATGTATTTAAACCCTTATTTAAATAAAACTTGTTTTCAGAAAAAAAAATTATTTCGTTATTTTTGTATAGAATTGGGGTGTAGGCCAGAGGTGCGAGGAGTGAGAGGATTCACCAGAGACAGAGTGGGGAACAGAACAGGCAGACTGACTGAAATACAGTGCTGAGGGGAGCAGTTGGTGAGACAGGAGAGGACTGCTGTGCTATGTGAGTCAGCTCCCTGATCTGGGATCGAATTCAGGCTGTCGTGGTGATAGCGCTGAGACTTAACTCGTAGGCCACCAGGGAGGCCCCTCCATCTTTTATTAATGTATTAAATAGTGCCAGTTAAGATAGCGTAACTCACTGTCATTTCAGATTGTTCCATATTAGGTTGAATTACAAACTGAAACTGGGTCCTCCCTGGTGGCGCAAAGGGTTAAGCACCGCACTATGAAGCAATCCACAGCCTCTGCAGCACAAGTTCGATCCCCGGCTGGCCAGGGAGCAACCCACAGGGCACAGCAGCCTCTCCTGACTCGCCCACTGCTCCCCTCAGCAGTGTATTTCAGTTAGTCTGCCTGTTCTGTTCCCCACTCTGTCTCTGGTGAATCCTCTCACCCCCTGCATCTCTGGCCTGTACCCCAGCTCTTGTATGCATAAATAAATAAATCTTAAAAAACAAAACAAAACTGAAATATGTCCTGATTTACCTCCATTGGGTCTAAGAATGATTCTCTTGACCTTGCTGAGTTCTGACTAGAATGCCATGCTCTCTTTCTGAGGGCACTAGCCACTCAGCTAATAAATGGTGCCAATTTAGAGATTTCCTCATTCTTGGAGATGGTGAAAGATGAATCAGGGGAGAGTGTAAAAACTGGATTGCATGGGACCTCAAAATCATGCTAAGAAATTTGGATTTCATTCCAAGACACCTCTTCCATCTGCTAAAGGGCTTTGGGCAGTGAAGTTCACTGAGGTAGGTCATCATGGCCACCCAGTGTGGAGAATGGACTGAGGGTCATAGAACAGGAGGCCAAGGTGCCAGTCAGGAAGCTTTTGTAGAACTTTCTCTGAGAGATTGGCAGCTTGAGTCAGAGTGGTGGAAATAAGGGGTGGAAACCATGGATAGGAGAGAGTGGCTATGGGGGTGTTGGAGCGGGGGGAAGTAGAGAATACTAGCTGGCATTTAGTTGGGGGCAATAAGGAGAGTCTATTTATAGAAACAGAGAACAAGGGAGGTAGAACAGGTTTAGGGAGGAAAACTATAATTTTATCAAGTTGATTTTTAGGTGGGATACCAATGCCAAGATACAGGAGGAAGATCCTGGTTAGAGAGAAACATGTAGACGTTGTGAGCACATAGATGGAAATCGGTGTTTTTGAGAGTGTGTCAAGACAGAAATAATCTTAGGGCAGAATCTTGAGGAAAACCAATATTTAATAGATGGGCAGAGGTAGAGAAATTTCTGAAAAAGAAACTGGGGCATGGGTGAGAGGTGGAGAAAGTCTAGAAGGTTGAGTGTAGCCAATAGGATCAGATCATAGGGAGAGCCAGAGTGCCAGAAGGATTATCAAGTCTATTGACTTTAGTGACACAGAAGTTGTGAATGGCCAGATGCGGGCAGTTTAGGTGGAGCTCCAGAGGCCACAGTTGACTTAAGAGGTGAGCAACTGGTGAGCAAAGATATTTGGTTCCAATGAGGAGGAGATTTGACATTAACTAGCTGGAGAGACATAAGGAGCTGAGGATAACTACCCACCACTATTTCTGCATCCATCCTTTCTCTTTTAGATTGAAGAGACTTGAGTGCAATCAACTGCTGAAGGGAAGGAGTAAGCAGAGAGGGAGAAGTTGAGCATACAGGGGAGAGAGGAAAAGAAAAGAGTATGTTTAGAGGAAGTGGAATCCCTGGCTGGTGGAGGAAGATGGCCTCCGTGACAGAAGTGACAATGCGCCTTCTACTGAGCGAGATAGAAAGAAGCAGAGATAAGAAGGAAGGTGAGTTTGTGAATATACTGGGAAGGGCTCCTGTCTGGTGTTTCTCCCTTCACAGTCAAGCACAAGGTGGGGTGTGTCAAGCACTGCTGCTGGCAGTGTGGGGAGAGCTGGTTGGGTAAAAGGTATAAGGAGAAAAAAAAAAGATATAAGGAGGGAACAGAAGGCTTCAGTCAGATTTGAGGGACTATGAGGAAAGAAACTGGCAAAGGAAACCACAGAATTGATTGGAGGGTTGAGGACCAGGGGTTGCTGGAGACCATGGATTTAGGTCCACAGCAGGGATCCACTCTCTCCAATAATCAGTTGCCAGGCGTGGGAGTAGGGAAGGTGAACAGTTGGATTCTATTCTTAGGCTCCTTTACTGCTGAGGAGATTTTTGGATCTGGAGAAGATCTCTAATGACCATCTGTGATTATTTATTGTTTAATCTATTTACTTCACAAGTCTACTTAAGCAAATAATTTAAGCCCTTCTCAAATAGCCAACAAAGCCTATGCATTTTATAAATCAAATTATCTAAACATTCATTGCAACCTTAAATCCTCCTATATATTTCAAATGAATCACCAGCATAAGATGTCAGCTTCTCTAAAAGCATCAAACATTTTGGTAAAGCACACACATTACAAGGATGATACAAGGATGATAAAATTTATTACACCCATACCTGAAACCATTATCAAAATGGCTTTGCAGACCCAGAAATGGACCCTCTCTTAGTTCAGACCAATTTTTTTGCATTTGGACATGCAAAAACAGAACATTATCTCAGATCAGACAAAGTGTTGGATGATGATGATGATGATGACTGACTTTTGGATTATTAATCAATGAATTCCAGTTGGGATATGGGAACTAGCTCATCTTCTAAGATGATTAAAATCCCAGTCAGTCTTTATCTTGTATATTTTGGGAACTTTCTAAGCCCACACCTTTTCCACAGATTGGAAATTACCAGTTGCCAGGAGTTATTATAACCAGAGAACTTGAAGTTTAATGACTATGATATGAAGATGCCCCAAAGATGTCTGTGCCCTAATCCCTGGAACCTCTGATTATGCTCTGTTTCAGGGCAAAAGGGACTTTTCTTAATTAAGGTAATGGATCTTAAACTAGGAAGATTGCCTTGGATTATTTGGGTAGGTTAATCAATCGCATGAGCCCTTAAAATCAGAGAAATTTCTCTACTGAAGTCAAAGACATGTGATAAAAGGGTGGATCAATGTTGTTAACTCAAAGATGGGAGGTGGGGTGCAGGGACCTCAGTGGACTAACATAAGGAGTGAATTCTAAATGAGCTTGGAAGTGACTCCTTCCCCTTTAGCAAGGAAGGCAGCCCTGCCCACAGGTTGCTTTTGATCTTATAAAACCCTAGGTAGAGAACCCAGTCATGTTCTGCTGGGCTTCTGACATATAGAAGCTGTGAGATAATAGGTCAGTGCTGTGTTAAGCTGATAGGTTTGTTGCACAGCAATAGAAAACCAATACAAAAATTCTACTGTGATCATTGACACATTTATCTAGTCCATCTGCATTTTTGAAAAACATCAATTTGTTTTCCTCAATATTCATTATCCTCTTATTTACTATAATATGCCTAATATTTAGTTGCCAGGAATAGTCTATTTCCCATTCACTTTCCCTAGGCAGGTGTGACTAAATTCTTGCCAATGTACTACAATCAGAAATATCCGGTGCACGTTTCAGAAAAGAGTGTGCCCTTTTGTCCTTCCTTCTTCCTGGGTGTTATCATGGAAGGACAAGTAATGGCTGGCGCTCAAGGAGCTATCATGTGCCATGATACTAAAGATACTACAACAGCAAGAAGGGAAATTGGGTTATGGGGATCATAGAACTGCCAACTAACTCTGAACTCTTCGCTTTCAGATTCTTCTATGTGAGACAGAAATAATCTATCTTGTTTAAGCTATTATTATTTGGGGTTTTACTGTTCCTGTAACTTCATTATAATTTGTATGGTAATTGAGAGGGTCCCTTTTCCAAGAGGTGAGGATTGAGTTTGATCAATAAGTGGTTATCTTTGGGACCTTTGACTAACTCAATCTTGTAACATACCATTGGACTTTCTTTCTGGTCGTGACATAAGGCCAGATGGCGTCAATCAGTCTTTCATTCTTGGTACAGTTCCAACTTTTTCTGGAATTACTCACAACTCTCTGTATCCACTCCTCCCTACTTACACAGATAAAAACAATTATGCCTCATGAATAGATAAAACACCTACTATATTTGTACTCTTCTACTTATCAAAATTAACAAAAATACCCTATTATAGTCATTCTTCTTTCCTCAGTAGATTAACTACCTATTTTAACTCTTTCCTTTTTGAGTATCACTATAGAGTCATGGATCTTTACAAATTTCACTTTGTTCCAATGAATTATATTACTTTCATTTTGAACATCAGATTATCATAGCACATTAGGCGGCAAATTTTAAAATTAGTTTCTTTGTTTTTCAGCATTACTCCATATATTTTCTAAAGTATCCCTGTTTGTTGTCATTAACTCAGTACTATGTTCCAGGCTAAGAGTTATATAAGACACGGAGCTATCTATATCCAAGGCACCTGAGTCCTTTTATAGGGGAATCATATTTGGGGCAAAGATCCAGGTGCTAAGAATGCATATCAGATTTTTCCTGCTGTTGCTTCTACTGTACTTTAGTGACAAAGGTTGAAAAAGTAATTTCTTTGGAAAACCACAAATTCACATTGGTATTTCCTATTTATTTCAAGCAACTCCAATCCTTTTTTTGACTCTAATGCACGTTTTACATTTATTTTTGCTACAACATACTTGCATGTATCCTGTAACCCCCAATTCAAATTATAATGGCATCTTTTCTCTTCAGTGATCTATAGGGTCTCACTGACCATCATTTTCTAGTTATTTTATTGATAGATTGATCCATGCTGGGCCAAAGGGACAGCGAGGTAAGACAGTTTATAATAGTGGCAGGCGAGTGGCTGAAGAGAAGAATCATGAAATCCAAGGAAATAGGGATGGTCCCTGACGTGCTCCATGCCTGGAGAGCCATACCTGCCCACACATAACATCCACCCCCACCTGCAGCTGCCCAAGGAAGGTCTCTACCCTTAATATTGGCAGGAGCAAACATACATATCCCACGTCTTTGGTGGGAAGGTGAGTGCCAAAGTTCCTCTGGGGCCTGGTACTCCTGGCTGCCCTAATGTATATGGAAAATGCACCATATTTAGGCTGGGCACATGCCCCCTTCCTGTATCACCAGCCACAGGCTCCATGTGGATCATGGCCCTCCCCACACTCCTGCTGAACTCCCTGTCCTAACCCATACCACTCTGGCTCAGCTCCTGACTGTGCTGGCTGAGATTTGTGATGCTGCCACTCCTTATAGGAAAGAGCCTGCAGGGTGTGCTGAGGCTGGTCCATCTGGGTCCCTGTGGGGGCCTATTTGGCTCACCTGTGCCATCTGTTCCCAAATAGCACTGAACAGGAAGCTGGTGGGGATGGAGCGGGGAGCAGGGAACTCAAAGGAACACAGGCTCCCTTACTGCCCAATACTAGGGCTGCAGGTACAAGGAGATGCAGTGCCAGCCTGGGAGGGCAGCTGGGATGGGGGTGGCGTGTAAGAGTGACCAGGACCTGAGATACCACAGCTCTACTCCTCATCGTGGGCATTTGGCACAGGGTCTCATGCAAGGAGATGGAATACACACAGTCAGAGGGAGCCCCTCTCCTGTCCCTAAGATGTTGCTTCTGGGGCAAGAGAGGACACGGAGCAGAGGTCAGGGGCTAGAGTCCTGTCCTTGAAAGGCTTGAGCCCTCAGAGTGGGAAGATGAGGAACCCAGAGAAACTTGAATATTTCCAGCCTCCAAGAAGATTCCCCCGACGAAGGCGCAGGGACACCCGGTCCCCAGGGTCCAGGGGCAGTAGCACAGAGCTGGTGGCTGCCTCCCGGGTCACATCAGGGTCATTGGCAAAGGCTGAGATGACAGGCCATGTGTTCAGCATCAAGCTCACCTGGGGAGGGGAGCCCAGTTAGCACTTCTCCCAAGCCCTTGTCCCTGGACCCCTAATATCCCAAGGGTTCCCTTTTTCCTCCAGGCCCACGTGGATGCTTTGGGAGTCCCCCAGGCCCCAATCCCCAGACTTTGGGAGTCTGGAAACCTGGGCTCAGAGGACTTCCCTGGGAGATTGAGAGGTGGTCAGTGTTGGATGTTGCACAGCCTCCAGACTCTCTGCTAGGCAGGCTCTTTACTCCCTGCTCCCTTGCCCCCAGCATACAGGCCAATGGAGGGTCTGCCCAGGGGTCATTGAGCTGTATTTATTCCCCTGCCCTCCCCTTCTGAGCTGGGGATGGGGCTCAGCACTCAGGTCACCTGGACAGTCTGGCGGTTGTAAACCTTCACCACGTGGAACCGGAAGCTGTAGACTCCCCGGACAGGGGCCACGAAGGAGCCTGAGGCCCGGTCAAAGCCACCGCCCTCATTCACCAGGACCTGGGGAAGCAGACCCTGCTGAGTGGGGCAGGGAAATCACTTGCTGGGGGTCGGGGGGCAGGGCAAGAGTAAGGAAAAAGAAGGGGTGGCAAGTAGAGGGAACAGGAGAAATGTACAGATTCAAAAGAAGTGAGAAAGGAGGAGTGTGGGTTGGAATGTAGGGAGGGGAGACAGGCAGGCAGTGTGAGGGGCAAATTGCCATAGTACAGGCAGTTTCCTTAAAATCTGAGGGGTGGCAAAGTGGGCTGTCAGGGGATTACCTGGTCGAAGTAGATGGCCCCGCTGGTGCCATTGCTGATTTCCCCAGCAGGCTCGTGGTGGTGGCTTCGGACAGCAGCAAATGCCACTCTTCCAGGAGGCGCCTCTCCCAGGGCAGCTCCCCCGGGCCCTCCTGCAGCAGCTCGGCCAGGCTCACAGACCACCAGACACTCACCTTCCAAAAGGACAGGCTCTGCCCCCTCCTGGGCCCATCCGGCCCCCAGGACCAGAAATGTGAGGGCCAAGGGCAGATGGAGGGTGGGTGAGGGGCCTGGTGGCCAGTGTCTCTTAGCTGCCAGCATGGCTGAGGGCTGTGTGACACACGAGTCCTCTTCAATCAGCTCCTTTTCCCCAGACAACTGCCACCTCTCGCTTGCTCCTCAGCCCTCTCTCTGGGTCTCACTGTCACCTGGTCTTGGCATCTCCCTCTCCAGACCTATCTTTGCCCCTTGACTCTGTCCTGCCTCTCACTCCTGCTGTCACTGCAGTTCCCTCCTCCTTGGCAGGACACAAAGTGACAGCAATTGGGCTCTGGGAGGGAGAGGAGAGATGAAGCAGCCAGATAGGCGGGCTCCAGCCAGAACCCCAGGGCAGCTCCTCTGAGGGCTCTGAAGGCAGGAACTGGGATCTCAGAGGACAAGCGTGTGTGTGTGTGTGTGTGTGTGTGTGTGTGTGTGTGTGTGTGTGTTCACTTGTGTTGTGAGTGCGTGCAGAGACACAACTCCTACAGCTCCTTCCTCTCCTAATTCCTCCCCTCTTCAAAAATTCTTTACATGTCAATAGCCCATTCGGTGGCATTTTTTCCAACGTGTAGCTTGTCTTCCCCCACAATAGCTCTGGTTGCAAAGTGCTTGGGGTGACAGTGTCACTCTCTTGTGACCCTAGGCCAGTCTTTTCCCTTCCTTGGTCTTCCAGATCGTCACGGGAAGGCAATCAGTGGGTCCTCATTTCCCAGAAACACTGTGGATCCGGGAGAGGGAGCTCCGGGGAGACAGGCAGGAGGCCGGCCGGGGCGGGCCGGGGCGGGCCGGGGCGGGCCGGGGCGGGCCGGTTCGGTCTGGGGCGGGGCCCGGATGACTCCGCCCCGGGCCAGGAAGTGACTGGGGGAAAAAAACACAACAGTTCGAGATGCCGAGAAGAGTAGTTCCCGTTGGGTGAGAAATCGGGGAAAGCCCGCCCAGATTTGGGCCCCCAGCCCTTCACCCCCGGCCCGGGGCGCGGGCGCAGCTGGGCCCCGGCGTGCTCCGAGAGGTGCGGGCGGGACTGGGGTCGCGGCGGGCGGCCGGGGGGCGCGGGCGGGACCCCCTGTCGGGGGACGGCGGGAGGCCGGGGCCGCAGTGCGGAGCGCGGCGGGGCGGGGCGGCTGGGGGAGGGGCGCGCGGCGCCTTCTTGGGGACCCCGGAGGGAGGGGGCGAGGAGCGGTTAGACCCTTGGAAATGGCAGACGAGGGACCCCGGAGGACAGCCAGATATAAATCCCTGGTGAGGATTCTCTTTAAGTGACCGTCTTGGAACCCGAGATTGCACAGTCCCCCGAGGAGAGGGACTTTTTCGTTGCTTATCCACCCCTCTGGCCTCCGGGCCGAGCTGGAGTCCTCGCACCCTTCCTGCTCGGGACTGTGGCCCCGCGTCCACCCAGGTAGATAGCCTTGTTTTTCCCACTCCCTCTCCCGAGAGAAGGCCTTTCTTTGTCCGGAGAATCCTCTGCCTTTCCTACCCCCAGACAGCCTGGGATGCAGGGTATCTTCACCAGATCGGTAACTTGGTACGACCTGTTGATCGCTGGTGTAGGCCCGGAGACCAAGATGTGATTTGCAACGTTGAGGCCCTGAGCTGCCTCCCCTGCTTCCAGGTTTGGTCGGCCAAGCAGCCATGCCTACCTATGGGGCCAGCTGCCCGTCCCCTGACCGCTTTGCGGTGTCAGCCCAAGCCGAGGACAAGGTGCAGGAGCAGCGGACCCGCGTGGAGCGCATCTTCAGCGTGGGGATGAGTGTCCTCCCGAAGGATTGTCCTGAGACCCCTCACATCTGGCTGCAGCTGGAGGGTCCCAAGGAGAACGCCAGCCGGGCCAAGGTGAAAGCCCCTCCCCAGATCCTTTTGGAAATAGCTGTGACTCCCTCCTGGAGGGAGGCTGGGAGAAGAGGGGGTAGGGAGGACCTCCACTCCTTGGTTGGCACAGTGGCAACTTCAGAGGTGCTGAGCTTTAACTCTGTATTTCTAGTTTTAGTTTCGTTTCTGGTGAATGAGCCAGGTTACTCACCTTCTGCCAGGACTTGGAGACAGGTGATTCAGTTCAACTCAATTTGTGCTCTTTGCAAGAGTATAGAAAATCCGGTTGGGCAAGCAGGCCCCTTCGGGGAATTCTCTGTGGGGAGGGGGAGGTTGGGCCACTTTACTTCCTTTGGAGTCAGACTGGGGTTCCTGTATAGCTCTGCCACCTACCAGCCTTGATCTATAAAATGTAAATAATAGACTCCATCACATCAGGTGTGTTATGAACGAGATAAGCATGTAAAGTATGAGCTCAGTAAAAGTTGACCATCATAATGATGGATATATGCAATACCTATACAAGGGGGGTCTTGAATATGGGGGGGGGAGCTAGGGATTCTACCCCCTCCACCCCCATGCAGCTGAAAATCTGTGTATAACCTTTGATTCCCCAGAACTTAACTATAGTGTCCCATGGTATACCAGGGGGATTGGTTTCAGGACCCACTTAAATTTTGGTGTCTAAGAATGCTCAAATCTGGGCCTCCCCGGTGGCGCAGCGGTTGAGCGCTGGGTTGCGAAGCTGCCTGCAGCCTCTGCAGCGCTGGTTCGATCCCCGGCTGCTCCCCGGCCACCAGAGGAGGGTCCCACATGGTGCGCAGACCTCTCCTGCCGCCCGCTGCTCCCCTCAGCAGTGTGCTGCGGTCCTTCTGCCTGCTCTGCTCCCCGCTCTGGTTCTGGTGAATTCTCTCACCCTCCCGCGCTTCTGACTGTACCCAGTGCTTGTATAAACAAAAACAAACAAACAAATAAATAAAAAACATGCCTCTATTAAAAAAAAAAAAAAAGAATGCTCAAAGCCCATTTTAGTTGTCCTCCATATTCAGCCAACCGGCACCCAACATCATGGTTGATGGAATCCATGAGTACAGATCCACTGACAGAAAAAAACCCGTGTGCAAGTGAAACTGTGCGGTTCAAACCCATGTTGCCCAAGGCTTAACTGTATCTTTAGACTCCACCTGATAACCAGTTAATTGTTACAGCGCCTTAAATTGAGTCAAGTTCTAAATGGAAATACTAGCTGTAGGCTGTCAGAAGTGGGAAAGAAGTGAATTTCTTTTTTTTAAATTTATTTATGCATGCAAAAACTGGGGTACAGACCAAAGGTGTGGGGGTGGTGGTGAGAGGATTCACCAGAGACAGAGCGGGGAGCAGAACAGGCAGATCTACTGAAATACACTGCTGAGGGGAGCAATGGGCGAGTCAGGAGAAGTCTGCTGCACCATGTGGGTAGCTCCCTGGCCGGGAATTGAACTCATGCTGCAGAGGCTGCGGGAAAATTCATAGGTTGTGTCTTAACTCCTTGTGCCACCAGGAGGCCCAGAAGTGAATTTCTTAATCCCCACCTTTGTTAGGATCTTGGGGTGGGGAAGTAGGAGGAGAAGAAATCCTTTTTTCTGCCCATGCATCCTGGCTTTCAGGGGAGAGCAATGAGCCTGAAGGGGGGTTACTGGGCCACTGATGATTCTAGTAGTCTCCTTTTTTCTTTCCTTTCCTCCCCAATCACCTCTAGGAGTACCTGAAGGGTCTCTGCAGCCCGGAGCTACAGCACGAAATCCATTATCCACCCGAACTGCACTGCATCTTCCTGGGAGCCCGGGGCTTCTTCCTTGATTGCCTGACCTGGAGTACAACGGCCCATTTGGTGCCGGGGGCCCCTGGTTCGCTGATGGTCAGCGGCCTGACTGAGGCCTTCGTCATGGCTCAGAGCCGAGTGGAGGGGCTGGTGGAGCGGCTGAGCTGGGACTTTTGGCCAGGGCCGACCCCTGGCGCCTCTCAGTGTGCTGGAGTGCTGAGAGACTTCTCGGCCCTGCTGCAGCTCCGGGGCGATGCCCACAGGGAGGCCTTGCTGCAGTTGCCTCTGGCCATCCAGGAGGAACTGCTGAGCCTAGTGCAGGAGGCATCCAAGGGCCAGGGACCCCAAGCAGTTCCCTCCAGGGAGCAGGGGAACCCAGGTCTTCTGGATCCTCAGCACTGGGGAGTCGGAGCTTCCCTGAGTGAAGGCAGGGAGTCCCTGGACACTGGACCTGCAAGGCAGCGAGAGTCACAAAGAGAAATACATAGTGGGGAGAAGGAGGGAGGGAAGCAGGATGATCCTTTGAAGTGGAAGGAGCTGTTTGGGAAAGAGACTTGGGAGCAAGAGTTGACCTTTAGGTCACAGCCAGGGGGAGAAGAGGCAGGGCCCCTGAAAGGGAAGACCCTGAGGAAGGAGGGAGTGGTTGAGGAAAAAGGACGGTTGTGTGTCCAGGGTGAGCCTCCTGGTGCCCACAGTCCCTGTCAGAGGGCATCTCAGCTTCGGGGAGCCTCCCTCCTCCAGCGGCTCCACAATGGGGAAACCTCACCTCCAAGAGTACCTAGTCCCCCACCTGCTCCTGAACCTCCATGGCACTGTGGAGACCGGGGAGACAGAGGAGATAAACAACAACAGGTTGGGGCTCGAGGTCGTGGCTCTCCATGGAAACCACGAAACACCCGTGGGGGCAACTTGGTGACTGGCACTCAGCGTTTCCAGAAGGCCCTAGAGGACCCTTTCACCCTGTGCCTCGCCAACGTGCCAGGCCAGCCAGACCTCCGCCATATTGTCATTGATGGCAGCAACGTGGCCATGGTGTGAGTACCTGGTGGGACTTAGGGTCCTGGGGAGGGAGATGAGGCGGCGCTGTAGGACATGTGCTGAGGGGTAGGTATGCCAGCCAGGCTGCTAACCTTCTCCTCAGGAGCCCCCTGTGCTGATCCCTCCCCTCGGCAGGCACGGCCTCCAGCACTACTTCTCCAGCCGGGGCATCGCCATCGCTGTGCAGTACTTTTGGGACCGGGGCCACCGCGACATAACTGTTTTTGTGCCTCAGTGGCGTTTTAGTAGTAAGGATGCCAAGATCAGAGGTGAGTCAGGTGTAGCCTTGGGGGCCCTGGGATAGGCCCTACTTTTACTTCACGATAACACTGCTGTGCTCCTCTCTCTAGAGAGTCACTTTCTGCATAAGCTGTACTCCCTCAGCTTGCTGTCCCTCACTCCCTCCCGAGTCATGGATGGCAAGAGGATCTCCTCCTATGATGACAGGTACTTGCTTCTCTCCTGGCCCCAGGCTTGATATTTAAGGAACTCCTGAACTTTTGTGCTCTTTCTGAGCCTGGGCAGTGGAAGAAGGGCCAGGCTTCCCTTTGTGTGCCCTGATGGCACAGGGAAACCTCCCCTGCGGGCGAGAGGACACGGATGGTGGACACCTGTGTGTGCTCGTTCCCGTTCGTCATTCATTTTTCACTCATAAAATTAAATGATGCCTCTTGTTTATGTAATGCCTTTCTGTCTGGAAAATACTGGTTTAGTGAAAAGATGGGAATGCTTCTGACATGGATAGCTGACATGCCTTCTTACAACCTAAATTTCCAAACATGTAGCAAAATTCCTCTGTGTATTCTAGAAACACCAGAGTACATGTTCAAAATAAGTCAGATGAGGATACATAAACCTTGTGTAAGAAGACTGTACAAGCCATGGCATAATGGAAAGATTCCTGGGCTTGCTTAGAATTTGCTCTGCCTTTGAGCCCGGGTTGTATCACTCATTCACTCTTTTATTGTGGGCCAATCTCTCCCAGAATTAACTTTTTTTTTAAAGATTATTTATGCATACAAGAACTGGGGTACAAGCCAGAGGTGTGGGGGATGGTGAGAGGATTCACCAAAGACAGAGTGGGGAACGAACCGGCAGATTGACTGAAGTACACTGCTGAGGGGAGCAGCGGGGAGACAGGAGAGGTCTGCTGCCCCATGTAGGTAGCTCCTTGGCTGGGGATTGAACTTGTGCAGCAGTGGCTGCGGACAGCTTCATAGGTTGCATCTCACCCCCTGTGCCACCAGGGAGGCCCGGAATTAACTTTTTCTTGTCCTAAGATCCTCTTCCATTCAGCATGCTCCTTGTAAATATCAAAAGAAGGTGAGATAAGTGCTTACCTCACTCAAGGTGCTAGGCTAGTGATGTTTCTTAATTTTGCAGGGACCCAATCGAGTGTGGCAGAGGCTCTTATCTCTGCTGTGCACTAATAGGGACAGCGGCTAAGAGTGGATGACGCTTTTGGCAAAGGCTACTCTGTGGTAAAGGAAAAATGAGAACTTAAAGCTGCCAGATGCTTTAAATGAACACAGGGCACATTCCTTCAGTATAACAGACAGTGTAGGAAATGAGCAGATTTTAAAAGCTAATTAACCAATTAAAAAACTTGGCAAATACAAGTTCTTTATTTTCGAGGATTTTCAGTTTTAAATAAAAGACTCATTTCCTAACCATAGTGATTATATTTTTTGTCTTTTTTTTTTAAGATTTATTTTCTTTCTTTATGCATACAAGAACTGGGGTGTAGGCCAGAGGTGCAGGGAGTGAGAGGATTCACCAGAGACAGAGTGGGGAGCAGAACAGGCAGATCCACTGAAATACACTGCTGAGGGGAGCAGTGGGCAAGACAGAAGAAGTCTTCTGTGCCATGTGGGTCAGCTCCTTGGCCGGGGATCGAACTCAGGCCATGGTGGGAGGCAATAGCTTGATGGTGCTGAGATTTTACCCCTGCGCCACCAGGGAGGCCCTATTTTGTCTTTGTATTTATTTTTTTGTTTTTAATTTTTTTAAGATTTATTTATACAAGCACTGGGTACAGTCAGAAGTGCGGGAGGGTGAGAGAATTCACCAGAGCCAGAGTGGGGAACAGAACAGGCAGAACGACAAAATACACTGCTGAGGGGAGCAGTGGGCGGCAGGAGAGGTCTGCGCGCCATGTGGGACCCTTGCTGGTGGCCGGGGATCAAATCGGTGCTGCAGAGGCTGCACAAGGTGAATTTGGAATTTTGCCTAGTTGCAGTGAAGCAGCACAGCGACACCAGCACAGACCTACTGATTACAGTGTGACATGAGGCATGTGACATGTGCTCAACCTGAAAATGCCTTTTTGGTATATCATGTGATACCACATTTATTTCCCCAGACAGAAACCCCAAACCAGACATCCATCCTACCTCAGCCAGATTAGCTGTCCCCTCTCAACTGCCCTGTGTTTCAGGTGCTGGTTATCCACTTAGTCCTTGGTACTTGCCTTGCTCATGAGGCAGGAATGCTGGGAATCAGGGAAGATCTGATTGTTGACTTCAAAGAGCCAAATCAAACAATAAGTCAAACACTTAGGTGCTCAGAGGAAGGGAACCCCTCTGGCTGGGGTTTTGTGGGTTTTGTGGGTTAGACTGAATTTTTTGTTGATTGAGAAGGACATGAGCGTAGCTGAATCTCTTGGCTTCTAAATGTGTTCAAAAAGATCCCCACCTACCACATCATCAGTCCTCTCCTAGTCCTGTGAATTACTAAAAGTGGGACCCAGGCACCTCTTTTTAAAGTTCCCCTGCTGATTCTGTTAGTGAGGTTTGACAAGTGCCTTCTAGATGGAGGAAGTAGTCTGAGAAGCAGGGAAGGCAGACAGCACAGGGCATGTTTGGAGAATAGAGTATAATCTGATCAGTGATTTTGGCGGGAGTTGAGAGTACATCAGGGAATACCAGGAGAGAGAGGATCATTCTGCAAGATGAGCTGCATTCTGGAAAACCTTAGCTGCCAGCCCTGGGCATGTGGATTTTATTTGGTAGATAAAGGGCAAGTTTGTGTTCTCTTGGAGGAGAGTAAGAGAAATTGGAGGGCAGTAGGTAGCTGGGGGCAGGGGACCCTCTTATTTGGAGACAGTTCAGTATCATTTGGGACACTGGAAGAACTGAGTTGGGAATTGGAATGGTGGGAAAGAAAAGGGGCAGAGAGGAAACCTTTTCAGAGGAAGAACATAATGGATATATGGCTGACTGGTGAAGCAGGGTGGAAGAAGATAGACCAGATCTCACTGTCTCTTAGTAATGAGATGCAGTGTCCAGTGGACTGTGGGAGTGGAAGGATGCTGTTGGGAGACCATGTTGGAATTGTCTTTGTTTCCTCTTTAACCTATGATACCTGCATCCAATCACCTTGGGCTGGGTCAAGGTGAGGTTGGGGGCCAGATCTCCATCACCAAAAGTGTGTCATAAGAGTTGATAATGTTCTTTGGGATTGGGGCCTTGGGGAGTTCCAGAATGGTTGCCATGGTTTTCGATACAGGTTTATGGTGAAGCTGGCTGAAGAGACTGATGGGATCATTGTCTCCAACGACCAGTTCCGTGATCTGGCAGAAGAGTCTGAAAAGTGGATGGCAATCATCAGAGAGCGGTGAGGGAGTCCTCCCCTGAGCATAGGGCAGACCTTTCTCTAAACCAGCTCTGCTCTGCGCCGGTGAGGCATGGGAAGGGGCTTGATGTTGCCTGGAAGGATGGTAGCCTGAAGATGCCAGTGGTGTTGGTCTAGGTGACCTGGGAGGAAGGTAAGGGCCCCTCTGTGACCACACATTCTCTGCCCATCTAGCCTGCTGCCTTTCACCTTCGCGGGAAACCTCTTCATGGTCCCCGATGACCCGTTAGGGCGCAATGGCCCCACGCTGGATGAATTTCTGAAGAAACCAGCCAGGTAATGCCTCATACTCTCCGTGGCCATCTCTGCAGGGGCCTTGCAGGCCCGGAGACTTGTGGAATTGTGACCTTAATTGTGACCTTAATGCGGGCCAGCTTAATTCTGAATTAATTAAAATTGCCTTGGACCTGCCCTCCTTTTAACTGCTTCTCAGAGAATCCTGACACAGAACCTCCGGGCTGGCAGGGAAGCCCCTTGCTTCCTGTTTTATACATCAGTGTGTTGATGGAGTTAGTTGGAAGGTGGTTGCTTTTACTTAGCGCCAGCCATGTTCAGCACGCCCCCTGCTGGACCGTTGGTTAATGTCTTAGACTAGGACCAGATCTTTTAGTGGTGAGCCCTTTCCCTTCAGAAGTGGGTTGATACTGCCACCCAGTGGTCATCTCGGGGAACTTCAGGAGTGCTCCCCCAGAGCAGGAGCCGCTTGCCTTTAACAAAGTGAAGAGCTGGAGGCCCACTGAGCTCTGATTTCTCTCCATGGTGCTTCTCAACTCTTCTCGTGTTCTCTGCTTCATCCCAGGGCACCGGGGCCTTCTAAGGCTCAACCTCCTTCCATGGGCTTCGCACACCACGGAAATCAGCAGCAGGGGCAAGAGGCAGTGGAAAAAGACAGTGGCGGCATTCGGAAGACGCGGGAGACGGAGCGGCTGCGGCGCCAGCTGCTGGAGGTGTTTCGTGGCCAGGACCACAAGGTTGACTTCATCCTGCAGCGGGAGCCGTACTGTCGGGACATCAACCAGCTCTCCGAGGCCCTGCTCAGTCTCAATTTTTGAGCCTCGTGTGCCTGAGCAGCTGCCGTCTGTCAGCTGCCATCTTGCCCGGCTCAGCGCCTTCTGTGACAGTCCCTGTGTGGCTCAGACCCTGACCCGAACTTACTCTGAGTTGGTGCTGTAGGTCACGGAAGCTCTGCCCTCCCAGTTAACTGCCCTGCCTACTCCTAGGTCTGGGGCAGCCATCCTGAACTTCCCCAGGCTGGGCAAGAGCACTGGTGTAGGGGGCTGGGGGCACTTTAGGGACAGGCCCATAAAGGGACCTGATCTTATTTTGAATCAGGACCTCAAGCAGCTCTCAAGAGGCTCTGCTCAGTCTTAACTCTCATTCTTGCCTAAGCACAGGGTTGCTGGAGGAGCGGGAGCCACTGGATAGGGTCGGTCCTGGAGATCGGGACAGCAGCTCCTCCACGCTGAGCTGGGTGGAGGCTAGGGTGGGCAGGGGTGTGAAGAACAGCTGGCAAGGAAGCTAAGCCTTCCCTCTCTTTGCTAGCCATTCTGGATGGCCAGAGGGCACGTCCCAGGCTTGGCCAGGCTCCCAAGGAATGCTAGGGCCTAGAGAAGCTAGTGTTTTGGGGCCTGGGTCACAGTGGGGCAGCAGGGAGCCAGGTGGAGAAGGCTGGGGGAGACTTGGCTTCTGGTTTCGGCTGTGCCTGGCTGTGGCCTTGATTGAGCTGCTTGGCCTTTCTTTCTGCCTCTAAGTCAGGGGTAGAAATACCTGTTGGGATGAGAAATGAGAACATAGGGGGAGGCTGCTTGGAGGAAAGGTAATTGGACCAAGTCGCCGGTGTGTCTGTGGTGCACAGGCTTCTGAACCAAAACCTCACTTTCTGAGCTGAGGGGCCTCTGTCCCAGCGCCCATACCCTAGATTTTAACACTGCTTCCTCAGTATAATGTGCCCTGTCATGGCTGCAGCCCTTTCGGGCAACCCCCAGATCACATTTTCAAAGTTGTTAATTAGGGGTGACTGTTTGCATTACCAAAATACTCTCAGGGTTCCTACAAATGGCAGCTCTCCTGTTGAATTCACATGTGTTTACAGATAAACGAATGTGTCAGAAAGCCCCTGATTAGTTGCACTTGCTGAAGTGTTGAGCATTCCCCAAACTGATGAAGCCATGTTCTGCAACGATGATGTTAGTGTGCTCTGCCCATATCATTTTCTCTACAGAATCACATATGTTGCATAAAGTGAGGCCCATTTATGCTTTGTGTGTGTGTATGGGGATGGGAGGGGTTTATGGAGCTTGTGTCTAGATGAACCAATTATCTGGAAAATGAAAACCGAAGAATCAGAGTTGGAAGTTAGGTGATTGGCCACTAGACCAACTACTGTCACATCAGGACATTCTGCCTGGATTCCTTCGGTCACTCCTGTATCTGTGCAGTCCTCCTGTGCCAGGGAAGTTATCTCCAGCAGACATTTCTCACCCATGAACAGTATTAGTCAGTAGTCCCTCCTTTTGTTCAGCTCCCGAATTTGCTTTTCTATTATTTTTCAGGCCAGTCATTCCCTCAGGCGAGAGCTGTACAGAGGAAGAGTACAGAGCTAGTCAGCTTCCTGAGCAGTTGGAGACCAGTCAGGCGAGACCCTGGGATGTGCTGTGGGGCTCTGCAGCCAGACCCGGGACCATCCCTTCTAGCCTCTGACTTCTGTCCTCTGAGCAGCACAGGGAGTTCAATGCTGCCACTTCAGTTCCTCCCTCCAGCAACTAGCGTAAGTCCATGGATGACAATGGGGCCTGAGTCCCAGAATGCTCCCCTCTTCCTTGGTGTATACCACTAGACCATACTGATCTGCGGGCAGGTGATTTGGAGACAGGTTAGTCAGGGAGGTGACAGTGGCCGACAGATGACCCACAATCCTCTCAGAAGAAAAATTGGTTTAATGTGGCCTGAATTGGGGGCTAGTGGAACTACTTTTGGCCAAGTTATGGCAGATATCAGGGTGGATAAACAGGGAGAGGAGGAGGAGTACTTGAGACTTTTCTCGAGTAGGGTTGAGTCTGTAGTTTTTAATAAGTTCTTTGCTCCTTTTGTTTTTAAGGATGGTAGGTATGCAGTAGGCCAGGGCTATCATCTGCCCTTTTATGCTGGGGACCCTGGTTGATTGAAGTAGGTAGCCCCAATCAGATGAGAGCTAAGTGTGTCTCACAGATGGGGAAGTTGGCTTTGTCCTGCTGCAGCTTCAACTGGGACCAGTGTGTCACTGCTTCATTAACTCACTGCCATTCAGTGACAATCTGAAGGCCTAGACCAGGGTCTCATCTCTTCCTCTGCTGACATCCTAAAGGCACTGTGTGAGCAAGTATGCAGGGTGACCACAGAATCATTGGAAATGGGTCATTGCTTGTCTTCTGTTGTCTACCACGTGATAACTCTGCCCCAAATTTCTTACCAACTCTTGGCAATGGAGGGACCAAGAAGGGAGGTGTTGCTCATTGTAACTTCAATGCCTCCATAGGGAAAGAGTCATTGAGTGTGATTTTCCTTGAAATAAATTGTAGGAGGATCTAGGCCTTAGAGATGAGCCGAGGCTAGTGAGATCACTTGTTTTTATTGGCTAAACAGTAGACGATTCTCTACACAACATGAAGAAAAAAATGAGGCAGGGAAGGGACACACAGGAAACCCAAATACGGAAATTTTTTCACAAGGAGTTGAAATGGTTAAGGTCTTAACTTAATGAGATTGTGGACTGAGACAGTGGACAATCTCAGCTAAATAAGGTGGACCAAGAGGACAGGGAGAGGAATCCCAAGATGCCAGATGGTTTCAGGACTCAAGTACAGCAGTACCTGAGCCTCTTCACAGTCTAACGAGAAAGCTTCTCCTGAGGACTTGTGCTCTGTCCTGAGCCTTCCCACTTAGGCTACAACTTCCTTCAAGGCAGCCCCTAGTTCTGGGAAGGAATACTGGTAGCCAGCGGCCAGTGTCCGCCGTGGGATGACCTTCTGGCCTTCCAGCAGCATGATGGCGCGCTCTCTACCAAAAATAGCTTGCACCACAGTGCTGGGGAGAGGGATGAAGGCTGGGCGGCCCAGGGCAGTGCCCAAGGCCTGGGCGAACTCAGCATTTGTAGTGGTGGAGGCTGGAGCCACTCCATTCAGAACTCCCTGCACATGGTTTGCTTCAATGGCGTGGATCAAGATTCCTGCTAGGTCCCTGATGTGAATCCAGGGGAAGAACTGGCAGCCTGAGCCGATAGGGCCTCCCAGGCCCAGGCGGAAGGGCAATAGCATGTGACCAATGGCACCGCCCCCACGGCCCAACACAACCCCTAAAATAGACAAAAGGGATAACTGAGGGAGGCCCCTCAGCCTCCAGGTAGCCTGGCTGTTCTGTTCCTCCTGTTTCCCCTTCCTCACTCTGCAAGCTGATTTATGATTCAGCCTGCAGCAGAGCGAGGGTGTGGGGCGTTGGGACTTCCATCCTCCCATCTGCAGGCTGGCCAGAAATGGAGGCACTTTACCACTCTGGAAGCTCAGCCCTTCTGACACCCCCACGGCCCCAAGCTGATTGAAGGAGGTGGATCCTGTCTGATACCCAACCCCGGGTTCTCACCAGAGCGCACCACCACCTGGCGTGTAGAGTCTCCAGGAAGCCTGGCTGCAGCTTCCCATTTGGTTATGAGGTTGGAGAAAAAGTCAAAATCCCCTCCAGGGCTGTCCTCATCATACTCCGCAGTCAGGCTGGGCTGGTAGTAAGCTGCAGGGGAATAGCGTCCATTGCTCTGGCCCTGGATAGCTTGGTTGTGCCTGACTTTTCTCAGTCACAGGCTCCCTTGGTCTCACCCATCTTAGCCCTTGGGATCTCCCCATGGGAAGACAAGTCATGAATATTTTCTCCTGGAGCCTCCCCATAAGCTGATCTCTCCAGTCCTGGAGGAACAACTCTTTGGTGCAGGACTAAGCTGAGCCTCTGTTGCAGAGCAGTGGTTAAGAACAAAGACTTGTTCTTAACCCCTGGCTGCCAGGCTGCCTGAATTTTAATCTCAGCTGCAGCACTTATTTGTGGCAAGTTACATAACCTCTCTGTGCAGAACTTTTGCATCTTTAAAATGCGGATAATAATAGCACCTACCTCAGAGAGTGTTTGTGAGGATTAAAGCCGAAATAGGTGCAAGGCACTTAGAATAGGGATAGGTATACATGCTGTAATTGAAATTATTTGATCCCCGAGGTGAAATACAGAACCAGGAATTCTATTCCTAGAGAACTGTGCTGTGAAAAGCAAGGAGTTTGGGAGTAGGTGGAATTTTTCCTGGCACTGGGAGCAGTGTTACCCTCTCCCCCTTTTCTCCAAGGATCCCCATTGATCATGAAAGTACTTGGACTCAGGGGCTAGAAGGTTCCTGTGTCTGGTAAAGCCCCACACTCTTGGGCACCTACAGCTAGAAGAGCCTCCCCTCTGCTCCCCCTTCCCCTGACTAAATTTAGGAGCTTATGACTGCCGCATACCTACACCTGTGACTAAGACCCAGGCCTGGGGAGGTCGTGGGGCTTCCGAGATGGCTCTTGCCAGCATTTGGGTGGTCTCCAGGCGGCTGCTAAGAACCTCTTTCTGGAAGTTTTCATTCCACCTGCAGGAAAAACGGGAAATGAAATGAAAAGCTACTAAATACATGCAAATGTCACACCCTCTCTTTCCCTGGTCCAGTGAAACCCTGCCTTGTGGCTTAGAGAAATGGTTTATCCCTCCCGGCAAGGGATAAGGCATGTCTTCTGTGGGGCATCCAGAGTTACAACTGAGGACAAAGCCAAGCGGTTGCGGGGTTCAGGGCAGGTGGGTGTGAGGCGAGGCGCAGGGTGAGTGGCCCGGGACATGGGTTTGGTTTTCTATCCGGCAGTCCTGTCTCCACAGGTCAGGGGTCTCATCAGAGTGGTTCCTGTCCTCCCTCTGCTCTGATGACTGTGAGCTTGAGCGCCCGGGCTGACCTTCGCAGAGGGTTGAGAATGTTCTCTCCTGCCAGGTTGACCGCGGCATCGCAGGCGGGCAGCCCGGACGTGGCGAGCGCGTCCTGGGGAGAGAGCAGGATGCCCGGAGCCCGCGCCCGCCCCGCCCCGCCCCGCGCCCGCCCCGCCCGGGCCCGACCTACCCACGTGACCCGCCCGGGGCCCGGGCTCCGGGAGACCGAGGTCACTTCGTGGCCCCTGGCCCTCAGCAGCCGGGTGAGGGCTGTCCCGATGAAGCCCGTTCCTCCACCTGCGCGGAAAGCCAGAGGTGACCATCCTCGGGGGACGCCCGCGTCCCCGCCGCGGCCCCCTCGGCCATCCCACCCGTTTCCAGACTCCCCCGTCCTTCCCGCCCTCCCCGCGAGGCGCAGGTGACCCAGGTCGAGGGATCAGGGCAAGCCCTAATCTCCAGGCCTGGGTACTTGTGCCCCCCTCGGGGTGACCCCCAGTTTTGCATCTCCGTCTCATGTTCCCTACACCCGCCCCCCACTCCTTTAACCCTTCCCTCACCCACGAGCACCCGCATCGCGACCGGGACCTACTGCGCCTGCGCAGAATTAGAGCCAGGCCAGGGCTCCCCTTTAGTCGCGGACGACCTCTCTGCGCATGTGCCGTTCGGGGAGCGCGCTCCGTGGGGGCGGGCAGAGCAGGCGCGGGGCGGGGCGGGGCCTGCCCCGGACCCGGAAGGATTCAGAGAGACGGACGCCTATGTCATCGCCAGGCGCGAGAGTGGGGTGGATGCGGGGACAGACTGAGGGGAAGTCTGAGGAGGGAAGATTTTAGTTCAGAAAAAAAGCTCTTGATCTAAAATCCGAAGCTACTTCAACAGCCCAGTTCTGGATGTCCCTCAGTTTGGCGCATCAGTAAATCAAGACAACCCATCCTCTGGTACTATCATTTCTCTCTCCTCGGCCTATCATTTTATCGTTTCTTCGCCCCCGTGCTGGCTCCTTCCCGGTGCTGGCATTCTAAACCTCTCTGTCGTAAAATAAGTCACCCTGTGTGCCCGTGCAGGGCCTGGAGGGCCGTCAGGGGCTGCACGGGGCCACGCAAGAGGCTCCACAGAGAGACAATCCCGCCTCCCAGGCGCCATGATCGCAAAGCCAGCGCTGCCCGGCAGCCTTCACCCCATCTCCTTCAGGAGAGTCTAGTCCCTGCAGAGTGATTTGTGGAGAAGCATGGTATTCCGAGGATCACCTTAAACGCAGACTCTGTCTTCCTGGAATTGCCCACGCACAGCCGGAGATTGTGGTCAAACTTGGGGAAGTGTCCCCAGGCCTGGGGTTCCAGGACTCTCAGCTTCACCTCTTGCAGAGTGTGGGAGCCCGGCCGGACACATTTGTTCTTCCCCAGCCTGCCACCCGGCACATCTTCGCAGGTGGGATGACATTGAATTGGGGTGCCAGGGGTAGGGTCCCCACTGCCAGGGTCAGGTTGGCTTTCTCCTTGAGCTGTGAGGGAATGAGGGGCTGTCAGCTCTGGACAAGGGACGGGGGGTGGGGGGGGGTTGCAGTAGAGGAAGGTGGGAGGGACAGCACCAACGGTGCCACAGGACGGTCACATCCAGGACAGACTGTTGGGGTGCAGCCTGGAGGCAGGTTGGGGGTATGGGGACCCTCAGGAGAAGACTGAGATGACAGGAGGTAGAGAATGGAGGAACACGTCATCACCTTCAGTAACATGATGTCGTGCTGGACAGCTAATCTTTGACAAAGGAGCTACAGCCATACAACGACTAAAAGAAAACCTCTTTAACAAATGGTACTGGGAAATATGGATAGCCACATGGAAAAAATTAAACTAGATCTGTATTTAACTTTATACATCAACATTAATTTAATTCAAAATGCATTAAAGATCTGCATATAAGAAACAAAACCATAAATTACTTGAAAGAAAACATAGAATACTGGAAAGAAAACTCAGCACAGGACTTTAACTCAAAGATATCTTTGGAGATTGAATTCCGTGGCAAGGAAAACAAAAGTAAAAATCAACAAGTGGCACTACATTAAGCTAAAAGGCTTTTGTACCTCAAAAGAAACCATCATGCACAAAAAATAGACAACCTATAGGGAAAAATATTTGCACATCACAGATGTGATGAGGGGCTAATTTCCAAAAAATACAAAGTACTTAAATAATCTAGCAATGAATAAAGCAGAGAGCCCAATCAATAAATGCGGTAAAGGCTTAAGTAGATATTTTTCTAAAGAAGACATTCTGCAGACATGTGAAAATTTGTTCAACACCACTTATTATCAATAGAAGGGAAATGCAAATCAAAACCACAAGAGATATCCCTTCACCCTGTGATAATGACTCATATCAAAAAGAATTAAAACAACAAATGTTGACAAGCATATGGAGAAAAAGGCACTCTCCTTCACTGTTTGTGGGAATGCAAGTTGGTGCAGCCTCAATGGGAAATGCTATGGAGATGTCTTAAGAAAATAAAAATGGATATCTCATACGATCCGGCAGTACCTTGGCTAGAAATTTATCAAAAAGATATGAAAAGTCTAATATGAAAAGACTCAACGTACGCTATGTTCATAGCAGCACTGTACACAATAGCTAACTCATCAACAAGTCCCATCAACAGATGAATGATAAAGAAACTGTGGACTAGTAATCAATGGAATACTATACAATTATTAAAAAGATGAAACAGTGTCTTTTGGGACAAAAGGAATGGAACTCAAGGTGATTATGTTAAGTGAAATAATTCAGGAAGTGAAAGATTATCAGATGGCTCCACTCATTTGTGGAATATAGATAATGAAAAAACACACAGAGGCAAAGGAGGAGTGAATCTTGGAGTCAGTGAAAGTCCAGTATTGCCTCTATTCTACCAGGGGGAACAGGAGGGCGCTGAAGGGGAAGGTATTGAACAGGTGGCTTGGAGGAGAGTGAGTGGGTCATGAGCACTTATGGAGGAGTGAAAATATAACCCCCAAATTGAATAAAAAACTAATGGGAAGAGACTCAACATGTTTTTCCTACTCTCTCTTAGACCACGAGCCCGGAACAGACATGGCACTTATTCAAGATATGTGCAGGCAAGATACTTCCAAGAAGGACATAAAGACATGAAGCTAATAGATGAGTAGTTGGCAGGTGACTTAGCTCTAGCAAAGGCCATGGGGCAGCTGGTGGACAAGGGCTGACCAGCCCTGCTCCAGTGGGAGGTGTGTCTAAGGTGGGAACACTATCTGTCACCTTGTCACAGGTGCCGTGAAGATTAGGGGGGTACAATCTGGTCCTCCCTGAGGCCCTGCTACAAACACAGGGGGGAGCTGGCAGACAGGACCTGGCAGGGACAGAGTCCAGGTAGACATCCCACTGAGCTGTAGCCACAGGGAGACCAAGGAGGGGGCTCAAGGAGAAGTGGGGCTGCTGGGACCCAGCCTACGTCAGTTGTGGGAAGTGGGGACAAATGCTTCCTCCCAGTCCTCTGCCTTGGGGGTTGGGCTGGGATCCAGGATGGAGCCATGTCCTCCCTGAGGGTCTCTGGGAAGTGAGTTCCATTGTTCTGTTGGGAGACAGCCCCTTCTGGTGGCCAGACAGAGGGTCCACCTGTGCCCATGCTGATGGGCTTGGGAGGCATAGGTTAGAGCTGGTGGCATATGTGGGCAGAGGGGAGGAGGTGATGGGAGGACAAGAGAAGATGGGGAGTGTGACCTGGTACATGGATGATTTCATTCAACAGACAGAGAGAACACAAATACTCTTACTAGGCAATGGTGTTTATTAAGAGTCAGTCACACCCACATAAGTTCAGATGGAGACCACGAACAGGTGGCAGTGGTCTAGTTATCCTGCGAGAGTTTCATTGTTCTGTGGATCCAGGGCATGAAGCTGGAGATCCTGGTGAAGACCCGGGGAAGGACGTCAGGACGTTTGTAAGCATAGCTGACGATACCCTGGGCCACACCTTTACACACGAACGGGCCCCCAGAGTCCCCCTGTAGAGAGAAAAGTGACAAGTCTCAGCCCTCACCCTCTGGCTGCCCTCCCCTCAGCTTCATCATCCCCTAGTCCTTTCTGCCTCCCTCTGAGGGTTCAGGTGTCCCAGGGATGAGACTGAATGGTCATCAGACACCAGGGCTTGATTGTAGGGGGACAGCAGCGTCTGGGCCTGTCTGACTCTCCCCACCATTCCCAATGCTGGCTGTGACCCCCTCAGCTCAGCCCAGGCACAGGCTCCTTCTTGTTACCCCAGGACAAAGGCCAAGAGTTTGAATGAGGGAACCTGGTCCCCCGTGCTGGGAAGAACGTGACTCCACCCACGCGTGGAGCCTGGCCCTGTGTACTCTGTGATATGGGCGAAGCCTGGTCATGCACCCCAATGTCACAGACACCCTGGGGCAAGACTGGGAAGGGGATTGTCTCCTTACACTACCAGTGGCCTTCTTGGACTTAGGTTTTCCCACACACAGCTGGATGGAGTTGTTGTAGTAATTTGGGAAGAGATCCTTGCACTTCTTCTCTGCCTGCACTTTTAGATCCACCTCTTGAAGTGTGTCTGGAGATTTGCCGCCAGCCATTTCTCCCCAGCCCGCCACGCTGCACACCTGCCCTGGCTTTACAAAGTCCCGAGGACGCGGCAGGGCAATGGGCTTCACAGCCTTGGTGAGATCGGCCTTGAATGCCAGCTGGTTAGAAAGGAGAAGGGGAAATTCATGTCCCGGCCTACACTTGGTTCAGGCCTGTGGGGAGGCTGCCTGTACCCACTGCCCTCCCGCAACCCCCGTCAGTGTCTACTCCTAGCCCCCTTCTGTTCAATGACCTGGGACGAGCGTCCAGTTGGAGGGAGGCGGAAACTCATACCCATGGTGGGGTGCTCGCTCCTGTAACTTGTGCAGATGCCCCTAAAGTCAGCAAGACAATACCTTCAACAGCATGATGTCATTGACACGTGTCTCAGGATCATAGTCCTGATGCGGGAAGGGTTTGAGCACAGGGATGTCCTGCGTGGTGATTTCGCTCTTCCTGATGTTGTGAGCTCCCAGCGTGACACTGATTTTCCTGTAAAACAAGGGGGTTGTGAAGTCCAAAGCTTCAGCGCAGACTCTGGAGGGCAGGTTGAAGCGCAGCCTCTAGACCCCCAGCTGAGTAGATTGGAAGGAGGGGATGGTCGGTATCCCCCTTCCTTGCTATGCAGAGGTGACCCAGGCTGTGATGGTGGTTCAGCAGCCCCCCTCCCTCTGATGCTCCAGGAACCCCACACTTGCTCTAACCCGGCCACACAGGTCACTGGGGCTCCTGTCTGGGCTCTGAGTGCTCAGGAACCTCCTGAATTGCCTGGTGCCGTGTAGGAGGTCCCAGGATGCTAAGGCCCCATTTGTTCTCCTCACCTTCCTTCGCAGTGAGCTGCTGTCAACACGAAGTTGTCTTGTACCAGGAAACCCCCACAATGACCTTCTCTGTTACCATAGAAACGTACAAGTGCCATGTAGGGCCGGGAGTGTGGTTTTGCCTCTTTGCCCCCATAGATCTCTCCTGAAAGAGAAACTTTCCTGAATCTCTTGGTTCATAGAAAAAAGATTCGGGCTTTGCCTTGCAGGCTGAAACAATGGATGAGATGACCCCGGCGGGGGTGGGCTGTCGTGGTCTTCAAGGACCCAACACCATGGGATATGGACTCGGGCCTCCTGGGCGCATGGGGACATGGGAATGTTTCCTCACCTGGTTCTCAGTTCATCTGTGGAGTGGGGAGCTCTGCCTGACTGAATATTAAACCCTCAAACACATGTTCTGGGGAAAGATGTGTGCTCAGGATAGACGTCTAGAAGACCTGAAATTAGTTGCTTTGACCTAGCCTGGTTGACTCTTGTTCACACACTTCTCAGCCAAACTGTGTCCTGCCTACTCCAGGCTTGGCCTAGTCTCAGACCTGAAGAATTGGATCCTATGCAGTGGAAAACTCAGGGTTCATTTTCCCCATCCTGAGTCAACCACATGGTACACGCTCCCAAAAGGCTTGTTGGGCACACAGTGAATACTCCAGTTCCTTTGTCAGCAGCAGAGAGGAGTGGTGCTAATAAATTTGATTCCCAGCACAGATTTGTCTTTTTAGAAATTGACTAGAGGATCGAGGGGGAAGATTAGACAAGTTTGAAAATCAGAGTGGGCTGGGGAAATGGGTGGGAGGAGCCTGGTGGGAGTCAGTGTCCTTAGGCCTTGTGAGCATGATGAGGCCACATGCTGTGGCTCATTTAGTGTCTTGAGTTTTCCTCTGGATTTGAGTGGCCAGAGAGTGGGGGCAGGGAGAAGGTGACAATTGGACCCTGAATTTAAGAAAACTCCTTCATTCTTGGTCCAGAGGACAGCACCTGCCATAGCAGAAATCTAACCTGTCTTAGGTGTGCAAAATGGAAATTATGGACATCAACTCCAGCTCTCCCCTCCCCTGCATCCTGCCCATCCTAAATATAAGTCCCTGTTCAGGTGACAGGAGCGAGAGCCATGGAAAGGAGCTGACACCCCAAGTCTTGTGGGAGTAGTTTCCTTTGCTGGGATTTCTGTGCCTGTATATTCAGAGACAGGTCTGGGTTTCAGCAAGTTTCAGTCATTCTGAGCAAGGAAGGCTCACAGGAGCCTCAGTGGACACTATGGAAGTGTCACAAGTGGTTTAAGCCTGTGTGGTGGGGGTGGAGCTGAGAATAGAGAGGGTCACTTACCTCCTTCAACCCTGGAGAGTAGGACACTGGCCAACAAGGACAGGAGGGGCAGCATCTTCTCTGAGGCTGATAAGGTCTGATGTGGTCCCTGCTTCCTCCCTCCAGCTTTTCAACCCTGGAGGTGAAGTAAGAAGGGGCGGGCTCAGCCACCACTGAGCCCCTCCTGGTTAGATACATTCTTAAGTTACGCATTTCACCATATCCCACTTCCTTCTGGTCTGTGTGGTGGGGGAGCTGCAAGAACCACATCCCTAGGCCATGGAGGGATGACCACGCCGAGGAGGAGAAGACCCTGGCCTGGGGTTTGTGGAATGGACATTACCTGCATGGTGTCCCCCCACTCTAACACAGACCCTCTACTGATGGAATATGACCCCAGTCACCTAAATTTGTGTTTAGGCAAGTGCTTCTCCAGATGTGAGCACCTGTTCAATCCTACATGTAAGCTTCCTTTTGGTGATAACCCAAGAGTTATTTCCATGCAAAAGGAGGCAGTGGTCTCTCCTGAAATACATAGTCAAGAGCCTGGTCATCCATCATGTGTTGGTGAGTTCAGACAAGCAGAAACTGCTGGGGGTGGGTGAGGAACAGAGACTCTACTGAGTTCATGTGTGTGCCAGGCCCAGGTTCATCCTAAGGTCAGTGTTGATCTGAACTTGTGGCAAGGTCAAAGGTATAAAGTCCCTGTATGAAAGTAGTTTTGGGAATAGAGGCAGAGTCTGAGGAGGAGAAGCAACTTTTTCAGTCATTCTGAGTGTCCCAGGTCACTCCTGTCACTGGCTGAGGAACCTGGGGCTCCATTAATGCCAAGATGTGAGCTAAGGCTCAGACCCTGAGGCCTCACCTCGGGTGAGGACCCCAAGTCTCTGCACGGGTGCTTGAAGACTGTCAGCTGTTGCCTGGAAACATTTCAAGGTTTGAATCTACTTGGGAGACAAGCAATCACTGTAGATTTACATTACTTCTCTGTGTTCTTTCTTACATTAACACGGATTGGAGAAGACCATGATCTCTGAAGCTGAACATTATTCTTCTTTTGCATCTCCTGATTACCAGAAGGTGAAACATGTAAAGTGTCTTCTCATTCTCCTTCCTGTCCCAGGTGTGATTGTGTGTTAATGGCTGTCATGTCCTATTCTTTTATGACTTTTGTCTCTCTTCACCCCCAAGTTGCAAACCCAAGTGTGTGCAGCAATGTTGGGGTGAGTAATTAAGTAACTGTGTTGGACACATTGAGTTAAGTACCCAGTGATAATATTTATGAAATTTTGGCAACTTAGAAAATCAATGATGTAGTGTGTAATATTGACCTAGAGCCATTGGTTATCATTTGAAGGCATCTTGTCACAAACCACGAGGTTTTCACAGTTTTCATAGTTGACTTCCAATCTGCTGGGCAGTGTTTTCACTTTTTCTGATAGAGAATTTTCCTCGAACTCTTGGGACACTACCTGGGGCTCCCCCTCCACCTCATGGGCTAATCAGGGGAGGCCGGAGGAACCACTCACAGGTTTAGGCCCACCCTCTGGGGCAGGCATGTGTGCATGTGACACTGGCCCAATCCCTGATCCCCCTGTCTCAGCTGCCCCTGCCTGCTCATGAATCAGCTGCTCTGACCTGGGACAGAGGCCCCGACCTGAGCTTAGCCAGTATGTCGTGAGACGCAGCTGCACTGTGGTTTCATGAATGAATTTGAAATTTCTCTATACTTTTTAGTAACTAGAAAGAAAAAAGGAAAGTTCATGAAGCCTGGAGAATTTGAATAATGCACATATGTATAGTATAAACCCAAGAAGATGAGGGAGAATGGAGTAATAGTATGGAGGCTACATTGACTAAAAAGTTTCAGTTTTCATGAAACAAACCCAAACATTAATGTGGACATTAGGAAGCTCAGTGATCTCAAAGCAGGACAAAGGTCATGGGCAGGATTCCCTCCACCCCAGACAACAGGGCAGAAAAGTGATTAAAGATACAGTTGCTGAAAATATCTCCACCTAGTAGGAACAAACAACAGACAAGCGAACAGACCTAAACCATCAGTGTAGACACCCAGACAGCTCTGAGAACTCAGAGTGGGACAAAGGAGCATGACATGGGCAGGGTCCCCCACCCTGGCCCTTCCCCCAGAGCTCCTCCTCCCAGTCCAGCTGCGCCTCTTCAGGTGCCCCACTGGGCCCAGCTCACCAGGGCTCTGCTTCAGGGTCACGTTCACAGGGGGAGGGTGGGGTGGGGCTGCCAAGGGTGAACAGAGACAGACACGGTGCCTTTTCTCCTTGCAGACACCCCAGTAGCTGAAGGAGAACTTGCTCCTACCAGGCGTGGAGAGTGTGAGGAGGTTGCTGCCCACTTTCTCCAGCAACTCCTCGACCATGAGCGCTTAGTGTCTTCTGTTCCAGAGGAGTCTTGCCTTTGTGACTACATTTTACTGTGGTAAAATACATAGAACATCAGCTTTACCCATCACCATGATGGGGTGCACAGTGTGGGGGCACCAAGTCCACACCTCTTGTCCTGTCACCACCTGCACATCCACCCCCGAACTTCCTCCTTTTTCCAAAGGGAGTGTCTGAGCCCCTGAATTCAGGTGTAATCCCCATTGTCCTCTGCCCCTTCCTGGGGAGACGGCCTGCTACTCCATGTCTTCAGTGTGGAGAGTCCTCCATACATACAAGCATCGGCCATGTGTCCCTGTCTTAGGGTTTACGCCTGCCTGTCAGTGGGACGTGACAGGGTGCGGGGTGAATGCTGTGGGCACACAGCCTGGAGGGCGAGTGCAAAGATGGAGTGAGGGCGGGAGGGCAGGAGGCCGCACACCTGCTGCCTGATGCATCCTTCGCTGCCAGCCTCAGGATGAAACCGAGGTTCCTCCCACCGTCTCCTGAATGTGCTCTGGTGGGATGAGAGGCCTGGCTCTCCTGTCTGGGTATTTCACAGCTAATGAAAGAGTTGAGAAGCCAGTGTCTTCCTCTAAGGGCCACCGATGTTCTCGGATCATGGAGACGTGTGTAAACCCTGCTGAGAACCTGGGTTCCTCTTTTTTTAATTTAAAAATTTATTTATGCATACAAAAACTGGGGTACAGGCCACCAGGTTTCTCTTTACAAGGAGCAAGAACCTCTTATTCAGAATAACTGTCCCCACCTGGGCATCACTCCTTCGTCCTCTACACCATGCGCTGGCCAGGAGAAGATGGATGCAAGAATATCTGAGCGTTGCCTCTGGAGTCCACACCCCTAACCCTGCTTGTCCAGAATGCAGTTCACGCAGTGTGGGAGAGGGTGGGCCTACCCCTCTGCTACGAGCTATTTCTGACCTTTCAAGAAACTTGGCAGGAGATATGGAAAAGCTCACTTGAGACCCAGTCTAGGAGGTCCCAGCCTTGAGTTCTGAGAATTTCCATCAGAGAGTGTTGGGGGAAGTGTGTGGCCTCCCAGCATGGCCAGGAGAGCAGAGGAGGAACCGGAGGTGTGTCCAGGAGAAGAGGGCTGCACCCACTGCACCCCGCCTGTGGGCAGCCTGTGGCTATCCTGAGTGCAGACTGTCAGGGGCCTGATGAGATTCCTCCTGTGCTTCCAGAGCAGGAACGGAAGGGGGAGAGGAACAGAGAGAGAATCAATCTTTTTTGATATTTTTTTGAACACCAGTTGCTTCCTCAGAAACTTGATGCACCCTGTATCACCTTATTCTCAGTATCTGGGGGGATTCCCACGGTGGACATGGAAAAGGAACTCTCAAGAGGAATGTCACCTTAATGCAGGGATTCCAGAAGAAACTTGGGTTAGTGAAACATGGTCAGTCTTGAGCCAGTCTCCTGGTCATGCATGGTAACCCGGCTCCTGGTCGAGTGCCCCCTACAGGAAGGGAGGGAGAGTCTGTTGCAGGACTGGACAGACTGCTCTGGGGTGTGAGGTCCAGTCTGAACGCTGAGATGGAAGACAGCACAGTTCCTTTTCTTCCTGAAGTCACACCAGATCAGGGAGGCTCAGGTGGTGCCTCCATCCCAGACATCACAGTCACTGCCACATCCTTGATATCCAAGGTCTTGGTGACCACAGAGACACTCAGTTCTGGGCGTGGAGGCCACACTGGGGTCAGACTCTGCTGGCTCTGGGTCCCCTGCACCTGGCCTGCCCGGCGCCCCCACTCCCAGGTCTGGACGCCAATCTGACCTGTGGCTTTGGAGTCAACTTCAGCCATGGTTGTGGGTGCACATCTCCCCGAGCCCAACACACACCCCCCCCAATAAAAATCCATGTTCACATGGGGGTTTTATCTCCCCCCGATTCCTGTTGACCTTGAAGATGTGCTTCTCACGTCTTGTTACCCACAAAGGCCTCTGTAACGGAACATCTCAAAGATCTTGGCCACTTTCAAAATGAGGTGAGAACAGTGTTTGAGTGTTTGAGAGCAGGGTTTGAGAACATAACTGTTTGAGTGCTGAGAAGTGTCGTGAGACAAGTACACCAAGATGAAGCTCAGAGAGGGACAGTGAAGGGGTTCATGCCCTTCCCTTGTGGAAAAGCACCCCCAAACAAAAGATTAAGTAAGGAGAATACAGTTCCCACCAAAGGCCGGGAGGCTAACGTGGACGGGGAAGGGAAAAGGACAGCGTGGCTGAGCGTGGGTGAGGAGCAGCTGCTGCTCCTGGCTGTGACCCATCTCTGGCATCTCAGGTCCCTGAGCGCCTCTGCTCCTTGCCGGGGACAAGAAATACTGGTTCTCCAGACCAGAACTAGGGAGTCCTGGGCCTGTAGGGGTGTCAGTGGAGGCTGTAGCAGCACAGCCGAGAATTTAAACCAAGGATGAACAACCCTCTTGCCCTGCTCAGTGCTTGGGAAGCTGGAGCTTGTGGGGACAAAGTCACAATGATCAGCCACACCCATCCCTCGTTCTGACGCTCTTGTTCCCCCACAGCCAATAATGGATCCAGGGTGCCTTTCTGTTTCCCGACTGTCTTGTTTTCAACCATTTGTAGAAATAAAAAAATACAACCATCCACATAAGCACACACAAATATATGTGTACACATACATGCATGTGTAATATACACAATTTG